GTCAATAATACGATAGCCAAACTATTCAACATCTTTTGTGACATCAATTTTTAATGATATGGACTTCTCAAACAAAAAAACTAAACAACCAATATAAAAACTAAATACATAAACTTAAATTTGCAATGATTGTGGCTCTCTAATTTTCATTTAACTGTGTCTTAAGTTAATTACTCTTTTTTTCAACACATAATCATGGCTCTGACTCAGAACCGGTGATTTAGAAGATATATCATATATGTTATATGTATTATATAAACGTGGTGACAAAAATATCTCGAATGTTTAATTTTTTATCCAGTCACGTGAGGTTTGTATCCGATCCAAGGAATTGGTATATGTAGATTGAACGTAGAATAGTTAGTTGGCTTATGCTAAATTGGTTTAAAACCAAATAAGTATTTAGTAGCATGCAACTATATATTAATAAGTTCTTCATAAAAAAACTATATATTAATAGTTGAGTAATGTATATTTTTGTTATGTATATCTATTTAAATAAATAATATATGTTGTTATGATGAAAAACAAATGTTTGTTGTATATTTTGGCCTTTGCGGCTACGTGCTGTTTATACTTAGTAGTGGTTTTAAGAAGATAACGATAAATGTCAGCATAAAATGCTACCTCAGCGTAATGATATCGATAGTGGAATATAGACTTTTAGGTGTCGTGATGAAGTGATCAACGACACCAACATAGATTTTTCAAGAAATTGTACCTAATATTCAAATCTGGTATCTATCTATTCCCATAAGATATATAATCAGAAGATAGATAAATGCAATAGTTGCCATTTTCCAGTTATTTTTACGAGTTAATAAAGAAAACATCTTCTATATTTTTAATCGAATTTATATAATAATCATGAGTCAAATGATTACTTTTCACTAATCATAAGAAGTATCTAGCTGACAATCAGGAAAAAAAAAGGGTATATTTTGTTAAAAATTTCGAATCCCTGTAAAGTCAAATTGTTGTGAAGCCATATTAGAATTAAATTTCAATGTTTCCATCTACAATTTCCAGAAATAAAAATAAAATGATCTTATTCATTTAAACTAAAGAAATTATTAGTAATAGGTCTAACTCATACTAAAATTTAGTTCAAAAATGGAGGACATTTATTATAACATACCTCTCCCACATTTATGATTGGACATCTGAAACATGAAATTTGTGTGATTGGACATCCATAGATGTAACACACAATAAAAAATTAGAATCTTAAACTCTGATACTATATTAGTACTATGTTTAACTCACACCCAAAAACTAATTCGAAAGTGAAGGATTGCCACATATTTGTATATTACAAATTTTCTTAACTACCTATGTAAGACATTTATTCTAACAGAAACGATCATATCTATTTGAAATCAGTCCACAATGTTGTTCGTACCATAGACAAGATTATCAGCAACAGCATTGCTTCACTTCGATAATTTGACAAACCTCGACTCCACAAACTACTTCAAATGGTGATTTGAAGGTCGAGTGTGACAAGTCCGAAAATTTATTAACTCTTTTTTTTGACATTATGTCGAACTAAATTAAAAACCATATAATTTTTTTTATGAGTGATAAAGCTTTTATATTCCAAAAAAGGATCTTATCAAACAATTAGTTTAGAGGTTTAATGGGTTTTATGAATGTAACATTCGATTAAAGTTAATTGATTTGAACAATATGTGTTAAGTTGATTAGAAAATGAGCTACCCATCTCAGCGATCAGGTATCAACAAGCGGTATTCCAAAAACAAACAACAAAAAAGTGAATGCAACCATTTATGAACATATGATGTATGAATTAGACGTTCTCTTAAATTGTATTTGTGTATACTCTCTGACCCAAACTCCTTGTGTGTAAAAGGGAACGTGAATTTAGCAAATTACCTATACCACCAAACATCAATATTTTTTTTCTCCTCTACTCAACTATTACAATCACATTTGGCTTATCATAGAAGTGGTTTGTGGACCATCTTCGACCGGCTTGTTATGATCAATTTGGGAAAAAATAAATCCTCTTGCTCGAGCTCCTTTTGCAAGACTATCCGCCCGGACATTTTGAATTCTCGGAATATGAGATAAGGTGAACTCTGAGAAGCTCTCGCGAAGTATACAGAAGGCTTCCAACTCTGTCATAAAAGACGGCCAATCTGCTGGTGATTCACACATGCTCACAAGGTCCGAACAGTCGGTCTGAAAATGCATCGAAGTCATCTGTCTTTCTCTCAGGCATGACATAGCCCATAAAAGGCAATCCATCTCGGTGTGAAAACCCGAGAGGCTTCTACGACATCCCTGTAGTCCAAAAATCTCATTTTCTCTGCCATCCTTAAAACTCCAACCAAGACCGCTAACATGTCCGTGATTGATCCAAGAAGCATCAATCTGGCATATCGGGATCTGCGGTACCTCGGATAGCAATATCGGGGGAGGAGGGGGGGGGGCAACGCCTCAACGTGAGGGTCATCGTTGTCTTCAGGTTGGTTTGCTAATCTCCAACATTCTGCTTCCACCTTTGCATGGATCAAGGTGTCTTCCGGGGAAATTTCTTTCCCGTTGAAGATTTTTTCGTTCCTTGCTTTCCAAATAAACCATAGGATCCAAGGATATACATCCTTTTGAGGATCTCTCATGCCTTGCTCTTTTGTTTTCCAAAAGAGAAAACTCAGATTTTGATAAATAGAGGTACTCGGGAAGACACCCGGAAGGGAGGGAAAGTCCGATAACGTCCAGACTTGTAAGGCCGGGAGACATAAAACAGTAGATGGTTTATAGACTCTTCAGGATCCCCACAGCGAGGGCAGCGTTTTTCTGAGCCCATATGTCGGTAGGTGAAGTTCTGGCATGTAGCAACGCACCCTGATAAAAATTGCCACATAAAGTGTTTTATATTTCCAAGTGTACGGACTTTCCAAACATGTCGTTGGAGGGCAGTGATACTCGGTTCCCTCATCGCTCTAGCTTCCCGTTCTAGCTGTGTCCTTCAAATCAGATCATATCCTGACTTAACTGAATAAAGTCCTGATTTGGAATGATTTCATGCATATCCATCCAAGGTACGGGTACGGCTAGGTCTCAATCTGAGGATGAGGGAGACATCCTCAGGTTGGAAAAATTCTCTAAGTAGGGGAACGTCCCATTGCTTTGTATCTTGACGGATAAAGAAGTACACTAAAATTCCAGGGTTGCAGAATCCGATCTGCAGGACAGTTCTTGGCAGCCGAACTCTAAGATCGGAGATCCATAGATTGCTCTAAACTCTCGTATTTAAGCCCGATCCAATCGTCTTCCTCAAACCCATCTTTAGGAGGTTTTGCGGCCATTATACTCCGCCATCCATGGTGAGTAGACGTTTTGGTCACCAAATGTCAATATTAGCACCTGTGATTTCAAAATCATAAAATTCTGACAAGAGGTCGCTCTAATTCCTAAATTTCCGGAACGGTTTGATAATTAATGTTTTTATAATGTAGTTTCTTGGTCGAAATTGTTGAATATAGACTAATCGATCGACATCTAATAATATTTTTTTTATTTTTTTTGCCAACTATATCATTAAAGCCCAAAATGGGCAAACATTACAATATTCGGCCCAACAAACCCTACAATAATTTGGCCCAAACGTGAAACCCAGATACAGAAAGATAAGTATGAAATGCATGAGTTACACGTGTCCACACGTGTTACAGAAGAGGGTCGCCGGAAAAAACATCGTCATCGTCGGATTCTTCTAACTCAGACTAAGAGAGCCAAACAGATTGGAATTGAATCCATCAAAGCTGACTCCAATTTCCGAATATTGCTTGCTCTTTTGCATCATAACCCAGAAGAAGAAGAGCACCCAAATCTCCATTAATCGGCATCTTGAAACTTGCAGAAGATCAAATCAAAAATACTCCTCAGAAAACCGTCAAACACGACGCAGAATTCCAAATCATCATACTTCAATCTGATCGATCCGAAAAACTTTGAAACATCCACCACAGAGATACTACGCCATTTAATTAACCCAAAAGGGCGGCGAAGATTTAAACTCATATGGAAAGAAGAACAAAGAAATCTGATAAAGATGGAGATTCTCTCCAACTGCTGGGGATTGACAAGTTCCGATATAATCGGAAAGTCATAAAAGCATGCAAAAGAGGAAAAGAAAAAACAAATTTAAATCCGAAAACGATGAACCTTTTGCTATATCTCTCACAAATATGAAGAACTGATCATAGATAGCAAAAGGGAAAACCGAAAACGGAAAATCCGATTATGAGCCAGAAGAAATCCGATCATTGTCGGAATTTTATTATCCGATTAACGGAAAAATAACTGAACAAACCCAAAATAGATTACAAAAAAAAAGATCCCTGAAGAAATATAAATAACACGATGCCGGTGTCGGAGAACACCGGTCACCGGCCAAAAGATAAAACGATAAAAAGTTGAGAGTACTTTCTCTTTCTAAAATTTGATAGAGAAAACTTGTAATACTATTATTATCAAGACAAATTAAGATAAGATCATTGTAGTTGGTGACTACTCCACAGATGTGCAAAATAATGTTGGTAATTATTCTTTTTATAATTGAATTCAAATGTGAGAATCACGAAGCTTAATAAATTAGTAGTTTATTACAAAGAGTTGAGCAGCTTATCAGACAATAACAGCTGAAAACGCGTTCAAATCCTATTTCAAATCTACTAATCATAAGAATTTAACATTAAATTAATCTGTTTCTTTCATCACCAAACTGTTTTTTAATCTTTATTTTGTTTACATCCTTAATAATTCACACAATATTAATACAAAAATGGGTCAACTTCTCTGATTTGTTTATGGAGAAAAAAATGAATAGAAAAGAAGAAAAAACAAATATTTTATATGGCCGATATAATGAGGAAAAATAATGATGAAGAATTCACTAAAGAATTTTCTCTGGTTCTTTAGCAAATTGATATCATTAATTAAATTAGAAGAACAATTAGATCAGAAGAATCTTACTAAACCTTTATATGGTAACTGATTAAAAGATCTTGTTTCAAGATCGTTTACGTAAGTGTATAATAAAACCATTGTAGTTAATCTCTCTACTTAGCATTATAAACACTGAATGATGTGAAAAAGCTACACAAAGAGGGACTTATATATAAACATGAAAGTGGCAAGAAAGTGAATTGAGATCATCATCACCTTGGAATGTTACCGAGCAACGTATTAGTAGAAGGTGAGCTCTGTGCACTTAACCAAGGCTCTTGAACCGAGACCGGTGAGCTATCGTTAATCTCTTCAACGGAAGCAAGTATATCAGATTGTTTCTGCGGAACAACGAGTCTTCTACTTCCTGCTGATGATTTTTTAGTCGATACTGATCTTTCGCTTCCACGATCAGATGACCGAAGAGAACCGTTCGGTGAATCCAAACTCATGTTTGGAATCCAACCACTGAGCCGAATCTGCTCGAGCTCGTCTGCTACTTCGGTCATTGTTGGTCTCATGTCACTGTGGAAGGCTAAGCATCGGAACGCGAGCTCAGCCACGGTGTGTATCGACGAGAGAGTCCATGCGTCAAGATTCGAGTCAAGAATCGGGTCTATGATCTCATCTAAACAATTTGACCCGATTTTGTCAACAGCGAGAGCGGCTAGGTTGATCTCAGTGTGTGGCCGAGTGAAATCAACGACTTTCAATCCCGTTATGATCTCAGCAAGGACGACTCCGAAGCTGTAGACATCGCTCTTATCAGAGAGATGGAAGCATTGATGGTACTGTGGGTCGAGATAGCCAGGGGTTCCTTGAGGAGCCGTTGAAATGTGGGAAGTTTCAGTCATTCCAAGTCTAGAGAGTCCAAAATCAGCGACTTTGGAGTTGAAATCATAATCAAGAAGGATATTGCTGGATTTGATGTCACGGTGATAGATCGGTGGGTTCATTGCAGAGTGGAGATACGCAATTGCTTTAGCTGTTTGAGTTGCAACAGTGAGACGCACTGTCCATGGAAGACCGGTACCAATCTCTCTTTGTAGATGTTCTGATAATGTTCCATTTGGCATGAACTCGTAAACGAGAACCGGATCGCCTTGCTCTATACAGCATCCCAAGAGACGGACGAGATTCGGGTGGCTCACGGAAGAAAGAAGCTTGATCTCATTCATGACTTGGTCAACACTCTCTGAATCTCTGTGTCTGAGTCTTTTGATAGCAACCCATTCATCGTTTTGAAGCTTTCCTCTATAGACTGTACCATACGCGCCTGTTCCTAGCCTCTGCTTTTCAGAGAAACTATTCGTTGCTTTCTCGATGTCCTTGTAAGGGAAAAAAGCGACACTTGAGTTGCCTGCAGCTTCAGATAAAAGACGCTTTGCGCTTAAATGGCTCCTGAAAGAAGCAGATTTTCTCCGCTTACAAACGAACAGAAAAGCCAAGCCAACAAGCAAAAATGCTCCACCAACAGTTCCTAAGTACGCAAATGAATTTAACAGAGTCAAAGATCCATAATTTTTAGCAAAGAACAAAAATTTAAAAAACCAAATAAACACTAAAGCCACAGTTACCTCCTACAACAATAGCAAGATTAGATCTACAATGTCCCCACACGAGCCTGGAACCATGGCAGCCCGGTAATGCTGCAAAAAAAAAAAGGTAAAGAGGAAACCAATTAGATCAAAAAAGCTTTGCTAATTTTGGAAACATAAGGCAAGAACATCAATTGTCACTCTTCAAACAGACAAAGAACTAATAATTCATAGATCAGCATTACACAGCGTTCACAAGTTACTCCAACTTTTGTTCCCAAAGAACACCAAATTTCATTATACTAGATTCAAAATGATAGCTTTAACAAGTTACTCCAATTCTGGTTCCCAAAGAACACCTTATTTCATTATACTAGATTCAAAATGACAGCTTAAAACCATTCATTTCCCACCTGAATCCAAGATTTTCTTGCTTCTTAGCCATTAACACAAATGTTGAAACAAAGAAGACTTTTGATTGACTAACCTTTTCGGCAAGGAGACTTGATGAATCCGTCTCCATGGTAACCCTCGGGACATGAGCACCGGTGTCCTGCAGCTCCATCAGGAGTTTCAACGCCCTTACAACTGGCATTTGCCGAGCAAGTTGAGTTTTCACAGCCTCCCTTTAGCCACCAACCTAACCTAACTCGCTCAAACTCTAGCGCTATTCCCGCATTCTCACCTACAGACTCGAAAGCTATCGACGAGAACAACAACTTGCACGAGCTTTTCCTCAAATCATTCATCCTGAAAAACATGGCTGTCGAATTCGCATCTGTAGAGAAACAGCTCACGTTTCCCTGACGATCACAGCTTTTCAGTTTCAGCTGTCTCTCCAAGTACGTCTGCTTGATCGAGCAACCATCGGTTGTGTTCTTGCAATCCTCCATTAAGAAACTGTTCTCCGACGTAGGTGCGTAATGCTCGCCGAAAAGCGGATTCATGGCTTCGATACTCCGATTACAATTGTGTGGGACGCCGACGAATATACTCTCGTCCGTCACGTTTTGGACGGGAAAGACTCCGATCTGTGCTACGTCCGTCGTGGAGCAGTCGAATTTGATCGGACAACCGTTTGAAAACCCGAACGGATAAGGAAGAATCCATCGACCGCATTTTCCGTCACAAGGATCGGTGGAGTTAAACGGAGAACAAGAGACTCGGAAAATGGATCCTCCGATTACGATTATGAACAAAACCAAATTCAATTTAAGAGAAATCGCCATCATCTTCGCGAATTTTGGGTAGTGTCGATCTTAATTTTCATCACCTTCCTGCAAACATTAGAAAACTCAGAAAAACGTCTCGATTCATGGATCATCAAAATTTCTGGAAATTGAAAAAACCGAGCTAAAACCCTAAGACCTCGAAACCAGTTGGAAATTAGTTGAGCTATTAAAGCTCTCAGCTCCCCAACGGTACATACAAAATAAATACACATAGAAACCAAAGAGAGAGAAAGACAGAAGAAACTGATTCCTCCATTAATTGCCGAAATTATAGAGTCTAAACTAGGGTTTTAGATTATCATCCATGGAATAAATTAAACTAGATAATATACATATAATCAAAACACCTTCGGAGTTCATCTTCTTCGCAGCGATTTCAGTTAGTCTAGAATCTCCGCTGGTAAGCAAAGTGAAACTTGAAACTATCTGTGCTCCGGCGAAGAATCCGATCGCTAATAATCGGGAAATCGCGTCTCCGTTTAAATTTTCCGGTGATCTCCTAATTGCGAATAAAACAATCAGATTATACAATTTTGATTAAAGATGAAGAAGATACGTGCCGGTTTATTTTTCTCTAAAGACGACTAAGCCCTTGGGAAAAGAGTGGGAACAGTAGTGAAGTGACGAAGATACCCTTTAATAGTCAAGGTCAACGAGCAATTGGGTAATCTTTGACCGGGCATGAGCTTTTTCACTTTATTTTAATGATGCGTGTGTGAGTGGACAGCAGGAAATAACAATTTCTTTTCAAAGTCATATTTGTTTAGTAATTAAAATAAAAAGGGCAAAATTATGTTGACGGGACGTAAAAACAAATATTATAATTCGAACCAGACTTTTTTGTTATAATCGAATAATTCTTTGTGCTTCTTTCGATATATTTGTCGTTACATTTTTGACAGTAACAAGCAATCACAATGGTTACGTTACGTATGGAAATAGCTGTTGTTTTTTTAACAAAAAAATGGAAATGGCTGTTGAACCGCTCGAACCAATTATTTCTGTAATTATCTAACAAAATTCTGTCTTTTACATCTCAAATCCAAACATTTTTTTTTTTTTTTGATATTGATAAATCAGTATAAATTTGAACATCTTCGGATACAATGAACCGGATATCAAATGGGTCGATAGAGGTCTTTGAGCACTATGTTATGATTACTGTTGGATCAAATGACTCGAGAGAAGATCATTATTTTTTCATCTAAAATGAAAATTATTAGGGTGAATTTATTGACTGGTCAATAAACAATTAAAAATAAAGACCACAAGATAAAGCAAGTAATAATTTCACTAATTACATTGACGAAAATACCATTTTGTGTATAAGTAAATTAAACTAGCAAGTTATCTGAGGTATTTTTTTTTTAAAGCAAGCAATTTCAATGAAATTTTGTTGTTTCGACTTTCGACTTGATGTCGAGTTCCGGTAAAGCTTTAGCCTCACTTCTCTAGTTAGGTTAAGAGTCTTTGTTTCTGAAAGAATCAGTATATAGTCCACAACATGATGGTTTCTTTGTCATCTTTAGTGTTCTTATGTTGTGGTTACTTTTGAATTTGAAACCTATATAATTCAGCAATAGCACGTCTGTATGTAAAGCTGTGACTTTGGCCCGCGTAGTTTATTCTTAGTAGTCATCACGTTTTAATGTGACTTAAAAAACGCAAAAAAAACACCCCTACTTTCTTCATTTCTTCTCCTCCTAATTCGTTAATTTCATTTCTCCGCCATGGAAAGACAGAAGGCAAAGCTTGCTAAGAAAAAGATCTCCGATGATGTAAGAACAAGCGAAGGAGATTCAGATTCGATCCCGCTTGATCTCATTCAAGATATACTCAAAGGATTGCCTGTTAAAACCCTAGCAAGGTTCCTCTGTGTATCGAAGCCCTGGGCATCCATCATTCGCAATCGAGATTTTGTGAAATCATACTTGACCAAGTCGTCGTCTTCGACTCATCCTCAAAGTCTCATCTTCACATTCAAGAGTAAGCGTCAAGGAGAATATTACTTCTTCTCATCGAGTCAACCCCAAAATGGAGATGAATCTTGTGTAGCAAGTTACCATATGAAATGCCATTCTCAACCGTACACAGCCATTTCTCCATCTGTCCACGGTTTGATTTGCTATGGACCTCCTTCTAAACTCATGGTATACAACCCTAGCACGAGACGATCCATTGCTTTACCTAAGATAGATTCTCATAGGATACGTATGTACCACTTCTTGGGTTATGATCCTATTGATGGTGATTACAAAATGTTGTGTATGAGTAGAGCAATGCATGTTCGTAGAGGGCGTGGTTTAGCTCAAAAGATTCAAGTTTTAACATTGGGAAATGGTAATTCGTGGAGGATGATTGAAAACTGTCCTCCTCACTCTCCTGAATCTCCTCATATATGTATAGATGGGGTTTTATACTATGGAGCTTATTTTGACACCAGTACGCGCCTCCTTCGCAAAGATCATGCAGTCATGAGATTTGATGTTCGGTCTGAAAATTTTGATCTTATCAAAATACCACCAGAGAGAGCAACAAAGTTTACAAAGATGACAAGATACAATGGGAAGCTTGCTCTCATGTTCTCTATTGGATTTTGTGATTACTCTGGTTTAATCGAATTGTGGGTTTTAGTGGATGCTGCAAAACATGAATGGTCCAGTAAGATTTTTGCTTTGCCTCGTTTAGCTGGCTTGAAAACCATGTTTCAAGTTTTTTGTGCCATTGATGATGATGCAGGAGAGTTTGTTTTGGCACCAGAAAATTTGCGGGCACCACCATTTTATGTTTTGTATTATGATCCCAAGAAAAATAGCTTGAGAAAAGTCAACATTGAAGGCATCACAGAAAATAAGCTTCAATCTTGGGCTAATGCTTCGGATCGTCGTACAATCTCTATCTTTCCTGGTCAGGTTGAAAATCTCATGTTCTTCTGAATAAGAGTTTTCGCAGGTTTCATGATCTTTGTTTATCAAATTGTAGTTGTGTTTTTCATCTAGTTACTTGGGAGAGTTTGTTATAATTGTATATAGTCTTGGCTTTTGTCTCTGATTTTTAAAATTGTGCATTACGTTTCTCATCTTCCTTAAGTTGATGTATACTGTAATTTTATTTTTCTTAACTAGCAGTCTCTTTAAATTTCCCTTCTGATAGAGATTAAGATTTTTTTTTTTTTTTTTTTGCCAATTGTAGAGATTGAGATTTTAAAGGACACAAATTAGAAAATTATATATATGAACTATAAATAAAGAGCTCACATAGTTCCTAAATAGGTGAATATTAAAGAGGACAGCTTCAAATCGAATATGTTAGATTTGTGTAGGAAATCTTAGCACATGGTGCTATAATGTTAAGTCCTCAATTATAAGCTTATTGACTTTGTTAGAACTTAGAAGCTTCGACCAAATTTGTTTTTTTTTTCTGTAATCTTTGTCTATTCGTAGTTATTTAAGATTGCATCACCTGGATAAAACTCAACATCCCAAACGGTCAAACAAATATAAATAGGTTGAAGCAAAAGCATGGTAAAAGTTACTTGCGAGAACAAACTAGCTGGCATGAATTTGAAGCTCTTACCACACTCTCCAGCTCGAGCCTATCTTCAGAACTAATGCGTTCTGAGGAGAAAGTTGCTCTCTTCAAAAGATTTGTGTTCCTTAGAATGTATTTCGTCGCTTTTTTCTCCTCTGTGGACGTCCACATGAATGTCTCGAAATGAAACAACAAACATTTGGGAACATTCTTTGGTTAATTTTATTTCCCATCAGACATGAAATATTTTCTGCATCGTCCACCCCATTTCTGAGACTAATGGAATGGAACAAACACTATGCATGTTATTAATAGATTCATCAAAAGTGAAAACCGAGTTGGGTAAATTCGCTGACAAATGAACACTGCTTACATTGATAAGCTTGAGGTCTCACAAATTTAGGAGAACTATCGAGCATGAAAGTAAGTAGATTCCACCACGCTTCCTTACTTGTATATAGCTCAAAATGTACCAGCTGAAGAAGACGCAACCGATAGGAAACTTAATCTAATGCATGCATGAAGGCAATATTTAGTACATGATCAGTGTAATAACAAGAAGTAAATCAATCTAACTGCAAGAAAAACAAAACTGATAATCTACCTCCAAGAATAATAATTCCAAGGAAAGTTCACAATGATTTTAAAAGAGACGTCAACGATAATGATATTTGCCTCCACCAGCTTCGTCACATTCTCGGTCAGACGAAACCGGAGACCAAGATCCCCTTCAATCTCCAAGTATTTCAAAGAAGGAGCATCTACCACATAGCCATGCCCACCATGGTTACTATTAATTGATATAGCTTTAACTAGAACACCCTCCATCATATTAACAAGCAAGAGCCTAACATATAAAATGAGAAGGATTATTGGGAAAAGAGGAGTAAATTGCAAAAAAAATTCTCGCACAAGAAACTGAGATCAGATCTTAAAATAAAAGAGAAACTATTTTCAAACGTTAACATTAACAGAACTCATAAAATGGAATAGAGAGGGGTCAATAGTGAAAACAGGATTGGACCACTGGACCATCCCCCAAATTTGGCCTCCCTTGCGCCTCTCCACTGTGATCTCTGCACACCAAATCTGCCGGCTCTTGGGATTCTCATTCTCCTCGACGAGCCTTTCCCAGAAGATGACAATTTTGCCACCGGAGATGCTGAGTTTGAACCCTGGAAGTAAGTCTTGGAAGCCGTTTGTGTAGCCACGCTTGAGCATATAGCAATGCCACACAACCGACATCTCCCCGTCGAAACACATGGATCTCGAACCAGAGAGGAAAAACCCTAGCAGTTGTAGAGTATCATCCAAGCCATACACCTTGTTCCACTCCATCCTCCCATTCCTCACCCCACTCCAAGGGTCACACCACATTATTCTCCCAAGATAATCACAACAGTATAACAATCTGTCCATCACACAAGCATCTCTTATGTTTAAATCATTCCACTTACCTTCTTCACTACGAAAGTTGATGAACCAACTATCCGGTCTAACCACCACGGAAACCTTATTGTTTATCACTGGTTCCGTGATAAGCACTCTACTCCGAGTTTGCATCTTTGGGTTGAAAACCTCTGCAACGTTTAAAGGATCCTCGTAGTCATCGCAGCAACAGCCTCCCATCACGTATATCTTACCGTCTAAGACACCTGCTTTGGCCTCAGTGCGAGCAACTCCCATGGACGGGACTTGGCTCCACGTGTGAGTCCGACAATCCAGGAACGAGACACGAGACGTGAGCATGGAGTCTGTCTTTCCACCAATGACATAGATCCCACATCCCAAGGCGACAAAGGAGGCTCTTTGCGGAGTTGGGAACGAAGAAGGTATTGGGATCAACAGTTTTTTGTTTTCTTCGCCAGAGGATGAACCAGCGTGGGTTTGAGCGAAGAAGAGTGTCTAAGCATACATATATGCACCCTTCCATGAAACCCATTTGAGATCGCGTCTCGTAGAGCTCAGGAGAAATCACCAGTGACCGGTAGCTTTTTGAGGTTAGAGATAAGGCTGCGTGGTCCATTCTTGATACGCGTGCGAAGCAGTCTAGAACTAGCTCATCTGGCAAAGACGAGAACCCATAAGATGAGGACGCAAGGCTCCTCTTCTTTCTGCGTGATTGCTCTTCTGCAGCGGACATCATTGGTGGTTCTGTTTAGGCTTGGTAACTCTTATCTTTTATATAGATTTTAAGTGTTAGACGACCCAAATATGCTGTAATTTCTTATAAAATATAGCATATTTCCATCTGTTACGATTTTACAAAAGTCGACAAAAATATTATATTATACGATGATAAATAAATATTATCGTATACTTATATTATACATAATATAAATAGTGAGTTAAAATTATGTTTTTATAATCAAGAATTTTTTTGGATTAATATGAACAGATGGATTAGAGTTATATATTTATAATCGCGATCATTTTTATTACTTAAAAAATTAAATCTAAAAAAAATTATATCTAAACACAATAAATAATTATTTTTTAATTATTAGAAAAAATATACCAATAAAAAATAATTATATCTAAACTAAAAAAATATAAATTATATTATGAATTTCGATAAATAAAAAGAAAAATCTTGTGAGAATACACGATGTAAAATCTAATTTTTTGATTGTTTATAAATTTACAGCGCCAACAAAAATATTATACAAGTTGATGTCTTAACACTTACAATGATAAAAATATAAGAATGTCTCCCATAGCTAAGCTAAGTAATGGGCCTACATTTACACTTAATGGGCTAGTGGAAAACTTCATCGCCTTGTCTCATGGGCGTTTTTCGTGCTGAATGTCATTATTATGGGGTTACATAAATCTCAAATTTGTAGATTACCAAAACTCAGCAACTCTATACTTAATAAAAAAACCGGAAATTTCGGACCAAATCAATGAGAAAATTTCGAAAAAGCAAAGAAAAGAGATCAGAGAGGTTTATTACTGTTCATGGATCCCACGTGAAGAGACAGCTCCAATTCCAATCTTGTTACGACGTCGAATAAGACAATTTGTTTTTCTGTCCGTAAGGCTTAATCCCATCTAAATGGGTCCCACGTTGTTTTTGTTTTCCCTCGAAACAAAAAATTCCAAAAGCAAAAAAGTAACAAATTCAAAAAACAAAAATGAAAAAAAAATTATCGCACAAGATTCCAGCTAAGTGGTTTCTTCATCTTTTTCTCAATCGCTTTCTTTTCCATTCCCCTTTTTCTCTTCCTCCCACTTGCTTTCTGATTTTTTTTGAGCTCAAAGAAGAAGAACCCTAAAAAATTTCATCGATGTGATTTGATTCTTCTTTGATTTTTTGTGTGTGTTTTTCAATTTTCAGCTGTAAAATCGTGTTGTTCTTGTTGGTGTTTCTGTTCACTGTATCAGTGTTTTTTGCTTACTTCTGAAGCAAAAGTTAGGGTTTGGTGAAGAAAAAATGCCATTGAAGACGAAGAAACCAGATTCGATCCGAGAAGATGAGTGTTTATTCGCCGTTGAATACGACGGTCCACCGTTATCTTACGACATCCCTCGTGCTGTCCCGATTAATATGGAGAGAATCCCCGTCGCCGCCGTGGTTTCTCCGGTATGTATCTCCGATAACATGTCGTTTCCTGTGATTCAACCGATTCTGGCCGTGGATAGAAAGTTTTCGAGAGAGATGGTGGTTGTTCCTTCTTCGGTTTCTCCGACCTCTGTGATTGGCAATTGCGGAGTATCCAGTGACATTGAATTGGGAGTCTCCGATTCCACCACCGTTTCGCCTACTTCCGTCATCGTTTTCGAGGAGCAGACGGAGGAAGAAGGCGGCTCGAACTGTGAGTTGTCCGGCGAGTTGGTTAATCATCAGGAATCGAGAACGCTAGATTTCTGTGATAGTTTTGAGCAGTCTAGGGTTAGTTCAGTGAGGTCAAAGGAAGAGAAAGAGAGCTTTGATTTGGATTTGAATGAATCTTCTAATGAATCAGTTCTGAGTATGGATTATCCATCTTCAAGAGTTACTGGGGATTGCGTCAGTGAAACACATGGAGATGGTAAGAAGCAACAAGTTGTTACTTTCTTGGGTATTGCCTCTGATGATGGCTTTGAGGAAGAGGATTGTAACCAGAAGCGTGTCCGGGTTGTGCCGGTTAAGAAACAGCCTCAGACCAAAGGGAAAAAAGGTTCTTGTTACAGGTGTTTCAAAGGAAGCCGGTTTACGGAGAAGGAAGTTTGTCTTGTTTGTGATGCCAAGTATTGTAGCAGCTGTGTGCTTCGTGCTATGGGTTCTATGCCTGAAGGAAGGAAGTGTGTTACTTGCATTGGTTGTCCGATAGACGAATCGAAGCGAGGGAATTTAGGGAAATGCTCTAGGATGCTTAAGAGGCTGCTCAATGATTTGGAGGTGAAACAGATTATGAAGACTGAGAAGTTTTGTGAGGCTAATCAATTACCGGCTGAGTATGTGTACGTGAATGGGCAACCTCTCTACCATGAAGAGCTGGTTACACTTCAGACTTGCGCTAATCCTCCAAAGAAGCTTAAACCAGGGGATTATTGGTATGATAAAGTGTCTGGACTTTGGGGAAAGGTGAATAATGTTACCATCCTTTTGAGATTCTGGTGTGTTAACAAAAATTTTGCAAACGTTTATATATATTATTTTGACGTTCCACAGGAGGGAGAGAAGCCCTATCAGATAATTAGTCCCCATCTGAACGTTGGAGGTCCTATTAGTCCAGAAGCTAGCAACGGAAACACTCAAGTTTTCATAAACGGACGCGAGATTACAAAAGTGGAGCTACGAATGCTGCAGGTTGAGATCTTTAAAATATACAATTCTTGATTTGAAGAGAGTTTTTGATGTCCTATCCGATAATTGAAGTCTTTTTTCTCTCTATCTCTATTGCAATGTATTGCAGTTAGCAGGAGTTCAGTGTGCAGGTAACCCCCATTTTTGGGTGAACGAGGATGGATCGTATCAAGAAGAAGGACAGAAGAATACCAAGGGATACATATGGGGCAAGGTTTGTTGTTTTATCTGGAAATCTATATTCCACTTATTTCTATTGGCGTTTTCCTCTCTGATAGAAGATTACAAACTTGTGCTGCTTTTCAGGCTGGGACCAAGTTACTTTGTGCTGTATTGTCACTTCCTGTTCCATCCAAATCAACTGCGAATGCTTCTGGGGAACAACTCTACAGTGCGAATAGCAGAAGCATTTTGGACCATCTTGAGCATAGGACTTTGCAAAAGATTCTGTTGGTTGGAAGCAGAGGTTCTGGAACTAGCACAATATTCAAGCAGGTATGAGCTTTTTCTTATAAATAACTTTTTATCCATTTATTTGCGTAAGCCCCCAAATCTATAACGCAACTGAAGCACTTTCTCGTTCAGGCAAAGATCCTTTACAAGGACATACCATTCTTGGAGGATGAGCGAGAAAATATAAAGGTGATTATCCAGACCAATGTGTATGGTTATCTCGGTATGCTTCTTGAGGGCCGGGAGCGGTTTGAAGAAGAGGCTCTTGGTGTCATGAACGCAAAGCAGTTCGAAAATAGTCCTGGAGATGAAGGTGCATAAATTTCCGGCTCCTACTTGTTCTTGAGTTTTAGGATCCAGAGAGAAATTTGTTTATCGATCAGGGAAATCATGAATCTACGTGTGACGATTTTATGTACTAACAGGAGATTCTAAAAGCAACATCAAAACCTTGTACTCCATTGGCCCAAGGCTTAAAGCATTTTCTGATTGGCTATTAAAGACTATGGCTGCTGGAAACCTCGGGGTCATTTTCCCCGCTGCTACTCGCGAGTACGCCCCACTGGTTGAAGAGTTATGGAAAGATGCAGCGATCCAAGCTACATACAAGCGAAGAAGTGAACTAGGACTCCTTCCCAGTGTCGCTAGTTACTTCCTGGAACGGGTAAATAAGCTATTCACCATCTCTTATGCCCTCAATATAAGTTTCATTATATTGTTGGTTAATATGAAGTGGAACTATAGATTATATTAGTCTTCTAAGAAACTGTTTTGTCGTTCTTCAGGCTATCGACGTATTGACACCAGACTACGAGCCATCGGATTTGGATATATTATATGCAGAGGGAGTTACTTCGTCCAGTGGTCTAGCTTGTCTTGATTTTTCATTTCCACAGACTGCAGCTGAAGAGAATATTGATCCTTCCGATCACCTTGATTCTTTGCTTAGGTAAGTCTGATTCGTTTAATTCTATAATATTCAAGTCAGTTCCAAAATAGTTGAAGAAACTCTCTTTTGATTTTGTTTGACAGGTACCAGTTAATAAGAGTACCCTCGAGAGGCCTCGGAGAAAACTGCAAATGGATAGATATGTTTGAAGACGTTGGGATGGTTGTGTTTGTTGTTTCAATGAGCGACTACGACCAGGTTTCAGAAGACGGAACCAACAAGATGTTACTCACCAAGAAACTCTTTGAAAGTATTATCACTCACCCAATCTTTGAGCATATGGACTTCCTCTTGATACTCAACAAGTACGATCTCTTGGAAGAAAAAGTCGAACGTGTTCCTTTGACACGCTGCGAGTGGTTCCAAGACTTCAATCCCGTGGTCAGTCGTCACCGTTCAAATAACGGTAACCCTACTTTGGGTCAGCTCGCGTTCCATTACATGGCGGTTAAGTTCAAGCGGTTTTACTCTTCCTTGACTGGGAAAAAGCTGTTTGTTTCTTCGAGCAAGAGTTTGGATCCGAACAGCGTTGATTCTTCGCTCAAGTTAGCTATGGAGATTCTGAAATGGAGCGAGGAGAGAGCGAACATTTGCTTGAGTGATTACTCTATGTACAGCACTGAGCCAAGTTCCTTCTCAAATTAATGTATTCTCACATTCATGAAGAACAAAGGAAAAGAGAAAAAACAGAGTCTAATGTAAATGGTAACTACTTTCTTGTGTATAGATTACCTACCACGTAGATTATAACAAGTATGAATTTACAGACCGATCTCTTTGTAAAACAATTACAATTTAACTGATTCTTCTTCTAGTTATGTTACAATTTGAATGATTGGTTGTTTATATCGAAAATGTACCGAACCTGCTCTTCTGCACTTAACAAGACGTTCTTCACAATCCAACCTTGTTCTTGCATTTGTTTATTCAGTTCGATAAAATCATCTCGCGCAGCTCGTTTGCTCTCACCTTCCAGTAAAGACCAATCTTGTAGCGTCAAGTCTGTAATTGATATGTCCTTTCTCTTGTTTCCAAAGGCTTTACGTATGTAACATGTCTGAAACAAAACCACCCAAAATATGTTATGAATTGAACTATTACGAAGTTACTAAATTGATGGCATTTATTTGAATCCTTTACCTGTAACAAACTCGTGATAACGTCTACACTGTTGGCTCCTTCACGCAGACAAATAACGATCCCTAGCTGAATCATTTACAAAGTGGTGAGGATCAAACTAGAGAGGAAAATTCAATGGTTATGAAATAATAAATAACGTATATTAAAATACTCACTTTTGGTGTTCTTCTGAAACCTTGAGAGGAAAGTTCAATGGTTATGAAGTAACCATCATCATTGCACAGTGATTGCATTGCCATTATTGATTGTGTCCGAATCTGAGCCTTTGGATCTAAGCATCCGATTCTGATGGGCCAAACCCTTTTGCTAGCTACAAACAACATCTCAACGATTCAGCATATTAACCAAAATACGCATCGAATCATACTACAACATCCGAAAAGTGAACAGTCTTGAGAGGTTTTTGTTTTTCACCTCTGCTCCCAAAAAGATCAATTCCTTCCTCTTCGCTCACTTCTGCAGGGGAAGGTACTTGCCTGTTCTCAATCCATCTCTCCAGAATTATTTCAAGCCTATTCTGATAAGAAAAAAAAAAGAACATTTAAACTTATAACACAGAGTAGTCTCAGTTGTTCAAAGCTAATACCGAGGTTAGAAATAGCTACCTTAGTTAAAGTTTGCAGATTGATATGCTTGAGCCCTTGATAAATGCCAAGGAGATCAATCGTGGAGAAAATCGGATACAGAACAAAAGGTAGACTTGCCTGCAGTCTAGCACATTCAGCAAGTCAGAAGATTCTGCAACGATCTCGCAAATGAAATAACTCAAATTGTACAAGAATCATCTAACCTTTGGTTGTTTTGGAATAGCATATTCAGAAGAACCGCCAGAAGGAGACCAAGGTTATCAAAACACACGGTTTGAATCTGAATATTAACGATAAAATCAGGGCATGTATATGATACAAACGATACAAAACATGACTAGGTTCCGAAAGAAAATAAAACCTGTGCCTTTGCAGAGACTTCACCGAGGTTATCTGCTACAGCAAAGCTTCGATGCACAGCTGACTGAACATGTGGTAACATTGGTTATCAAACACCAAACATAAAACACTCAAAGCCACACGGAAAATCAAAATAGGAAACCTTACACCAGTTGCTAAGTAGCATGACAAGCTAATCTGTTTAGCAATGTTGGCAATGGAAGCTAGCAGAAGGAAGTACTGAGGGAATACTGGAGTCATTAACTCAACTCCAATGCTCAGGCTGAAAAGTACAGACGTCGAGAACCTAACTCTCTTTGACAAAAAAAAATTGAAGTATAAGTAACAAAATTCTCCAGAGTTTTAAGAACTGCAATTCGATGAAGATAACTCCACAAAGTCAATATACCTTCAAGTTTGTGTCAAAAGCAGAAGCAAGACTTGCAGTGTATATACATCTACTTAACCGTCCAAGCCCATCTTTCAGTATCCAGTTAAAAGCAGCAGATGAAGCAAGTGACCGAGATTGTCCAATACCAATGGCTCGAAACATCGCCTGTAGCCACAAAAACAATCAAACATCGACTCATGTTTGTAACAGCATCTGTTAACCTCTGTTCAGTTCCAAATTTCATGTCTTAAATTCAAGATATACTAAGCAGTAATTTGTTTACCTGAGTGGCAAGAACCTGCAGAGCAGAGCTGAAAACTCTGTGCAAGAACTTCCATTTCACATAACTTATATAATTATCGTTCACTTGTTTGGGTATGAAAAAGTCTTTTGCAGCCGAAGATGAAAGCCTGATCAATATCCACAAGCCGTCGTCGAGGCCTAGAGCTGAAAACGACGTCGAATCATCATCATCGTCCTCATCGACACATACCAACTCCAAGGAATCTCCTTTGAGTAAGTACCTAGAAACTTTGCCAGATCTTTTGATTACAATCGGAAGCCGACGAGTTGCGTTACTGGGTACGACGAGTAGTTCTTCTTTCGAAACACCTTCTTGCTCGAAATCAATGCAAGTTTTGAGAGACTTTTTGGCGATATCTGCGAGTTTTCTCGGAGAAAATTGGGGGAAGCTGAAGATTCGATGCTGGGTCAACTTTGATTTACATGGGTATAGATAAAGACGAGAACTTGGATTAAATTGCAGAGATGGATGCATCAGGGTCCTTAGGGTTTTAATATGATACTCCGGCGAATTCCGTTTGTGCCTCTATTTTTCCGGCAGGTTTAGGGTTTAACATCAGACATGGGCGCGTGAGAGTGAGTCGTTGGTTCTGCGAGTGGGAACTGGGAAAAGCTGATATGTCTAATATACTGGGCTGAAAATGGGTCAATTATCACTTGGCCCATGCTTGTGTCCACTTCCTAGACTCTTTCGCTCTAGTTATTTAAAAATGTGATGTAATTATGAAAACCCTTTAAAAAAAAAAAAAAAAAAAACCTATATGAAAACCCTTTGTCACCAATGGTCAAAGATTTTAAGAATCTTACACAAAGTATTGGCTTCGATTTTTTGAAACCAACTACTGAGAAGTCTGAGATGCAAAGATTATTATAGGTTTAAGAGTGTTGTAGGTAGAAATGTTTGTAGTACCCTTGTTGTTGCTACGGGGGGAGTAGTTCATCATGAGAGTGGTAGATAGAATCGTAAGTCTGTATCTCGTAGGAAGAGTTGTGCTGTGGAATCATTGTCAATAGAGTTGTCGTTCGTAGAATTGTTCCCAAATATTCTAAAAGAAACCCTCCCTCAAAAAAGTACTTGAAAGCCTAGTTCTCAGTTCTATTATTCAGACATAAAGTGCAAGAAACTGCCCGCACATCTGTGGTCTGAGAATGCATACAGTGCTCTTTCTGGATTTAAATTTTCCTAAAACAAAAATCACATTTGTCTGAGCCAAAAACCCAAACAATTTATTTAGTATCTGATAATAGGTGATCCGACTACCTTTAACATTAATTAGAAAGTATTTCAAACTCATGTCAGGCAGTATAATGGCCCGTTAAATTTTATGGATCTTATGACCCATTGATCCAAGTCTGCTCGGAGTTCATGGGTGTCATTAAACTATTGAACCTATTCCACAAGACAAATCAAGTATTTGTGAGCATAATATGCACGTGTATAGTGAAGAGCGTAAACCGCTCAGCCATGCAAAGATGTCTTCTCCCAAGTGATGTAACTCGGACATACCATATCAACTATCAATGTCATAGTGTCATGTCGTTTCTACTAAAAACAAACCGTAATTAATCAGTCGCTTATTACTTAGACAAATAGTTCAACTTGACTTAACCGTCCAAAAACCCTGTCTATAAACTCGTGTCAGGTAATCGTAAACATTTATAAGTATCTCTCCATAATCGTCTTGCACTTATTTCGATTTTCATGTTCCTAGGAGAATATGGGACTTCATTGATGCTTAGCCTGATGCATGCATCGAACTAGCCTAATTTGGTAACGTTAATTTTCTCAAATTTTACTAATTAATAATTCTTTTGAACTTTTATCAAATATTCAGCACAGCAGCTTCTTTACAATCCAATGAACATAATAAAACTCTTCTTCATTTACATTGCGTCTTTGTCTAAGAAAATATTGCAACGCTTGCTAATAATAACTTCAAATCATTATAGAGGATAAAATAACAGATGTTCAAGAACAATGAGAATTATATCAACATTACTGCTATCAGTTAAAACCATGAAAAAAATCAAATCAACACACTATAAGCTTCAAGAAGTGAATTTAATAATGTTAAATCAATATTTATATATAAGATGGAAAATGGTGGAGAGACTCACTCGCAAGCAGAGGACCAACTCCCAACTTCGAATTTCTCAAGGCAAAATTTCATAAACTCTTGACCAAATGGCCTCTTGTACACTAATAAACAACAAACAAACCCAATTAAGATAAATAAAAAAAACATTGTTATGAAGTATAATCTTGAAACGTTTCCAAGATTTGGCCCACCAGATGCATCTGGTGAACGTTTCATACGCCCGTTTTTTTTTTTTTTATATGAGCTCTGTGTAAGAGTAGACCACGCGGACTTAAGATCAAGAATTTCTTCTTGTATTTCTTGGGTCCTAAGCTAAGTATATCCAGTGTCGAACTCAGTTCTGTATGCTCTGAAGCTGTGTCACATGAGTACTCATCGTCGATGCCACATTTTTGCCATTGGTACTAGTAACTGACTAGTCACTGTTACTTGTCATTGGCGATTTAGCTTCACGAGGTCAAACACCATTTATTTTGCGTGGTTCTTTGTATACTGACTAATGTCGATACATCTTTCCATCTCTCTTTTAAAGTTGATGAACCCAACATTTCACAATGTTAAAATATTAAAACCCTGATGAATCTGTACTGAATCGACGTTGTGAACGAATGAAACTCGAATCAGACAGCGATGAATGGTCCGATTTTGAGGTGGAGGAAGACAGTTATGAATCTGAAGAACTAGTTGATTCTGAATCAGAAGAAGATCCTGTTTCAGACAGCGAAGAAGACAGTTCCGGATCTGAAGAACTAGTTGATTCTGAATCAGAAGAAGATCCTGTTTCAGACAACGATGAATGGTCCGATTTTGAGGTGGATGAAGACAGTTGCGGATCTGAAGAACTAACTGATTCTGAATCAGAGGAAGCAACTGTTTCAGACAAGAAGAAGACACCAACTTCTTCTTCTTCAACTCATAAAGGTAACGATACGAAAACTCCATTTGAAGCAGAGTCAATCTCAGATGCAAACAAACCAGCTATAAAGGTGGCTCTTGTTGCAGACGACAAGACCATGAAGAAGGAGAAAGTTGAGGAGATAGTTCTGAAGGACAATGGGAAGAGAAAAACAGAGGCCGAGGATAAGAAGAAGACGATCGATGAAAAGAGCTTTCAAGGGTTTATTACGCATGAGGCAACTAACGAAGATGGTTAAAGAAGACAACAACACAAGTGTCGCCGAGTAGAGAAATAACTCTTATTGCCTTTCTGAAAATCATTTCCTTCTCCCTCTGTAAGGAAAAAAAAATGTTGTTTCTTTTAGTTCCTTAAATTGTTCTATTTTTCTTATTTTAAGAAACCCAATCAGAATTACTAATAAGAAAAAAGAAAACGGATTCGACGTTGATAAACTAAAGTTTTATTTATCACTCGTGAATCCTATCAAAGAAATGGCTCAATAGGCTGGGAAGAAAGCCAACGGCTTAGACCAAAAATGCAGGTTTGTGGTTTGCCCGTTTGGGTCAATGTTGCACAAAGTTATAAGTTGAATCTTTTGTTTATCTTTTGCAAAAGCTTCACAAGATAAGATGGCAAAGTAATTCAGAAACAGAGAGAGAACAAAAAAGTGTTTCCTTTTAAATGTCAAACAGAGAAAGTTCCATGTCGTATGGTCAGAATACATTTTCCCTACAAAAGCAAGTTTTGAGTACGAATTTTGGGGTTTAACCATAATTCATCATCTGAGAAAATCATTATGCATATAAGACTTGTGAGATTTAGTGTGAGGGCAAATGCTTAACTGTGTTTTCTTCTCTAAAGGTGGAATCTTTGGCCAAACATGTTCTGCTTTCCAGATTACAAGAATTGTCCTACTATCTCACATTCCTGACAACTGAAACAGAGCAAAACGAAAAAACTACATAGCAAATCTCAATTCACAGTTTCTTACTTTTTCCCTTCTTCCATTTCCAGAAGCACGGCCGAGCTGTAGGAATGTTAGTGGCTCAGGCGGTGTCAAAAAAGGCGAATTCTTGATGCAACAGTCAAGCCTCTTCGAGTTTCAAAATGTTCCTGGCTTTTAATTTTCCAATCACGTCTCTGAATCTTCTGCTTCTTCTTCAACTACAGTAGGCAGCGAACCTTCTCTGCTGAAACCAGGGTTTAAGAACTTGGCGACAAAACTCCATAGCTTATAAACATCCTCAAAATTCGACAAGAAGCTGAGAGAAGCTGTGACAACTTCAAATCTCACAAACCCATTTTTTCCACCACGCTTACCAGCTTCTCTCTGTAGATGCAAAGAGCTATCTTCCTTGATCCTAGCTCCCCCACGATGATTCCTAGGTGTATCCATTATGCGTATGTGGCTTAAGATACCAATACCAAGAGATACACCTTCTCTCTCAGCCAGTTTTAGAACGACCTCTGGACTTACAAATCCTTTGCTTTTGTCTTTCACATTGAAAGCAACCGCTGCTCCTCTCTCGTACTTTATCTTGGGGCCATAAATCTGCACAAGATTTATGGGTCTGCTATTACCGTCACCGCCTGATTCAGGCACTTTAAGTTGTAGCAAAGAGATCACAAGCCAGTTTATCAGAAATCTGAGTCTAGTTGTGGTTTTACTAAGACCTAACATATTCACATGATCGATATGGCTGCAAACAATCTCAGGTTCCTTTCTGTCCCAATCATCATCATTTGCGTTTTCACCATCACTTTCGTCATATACACTGGCCAGAGAAGCTTCACCTTGGTCCAGACTATGACTGATACGGTCCATGTTAAACGAAACCCTTGTTCCTCTGCTCGGTTGTTCATCTTCCACACCCATAAGCCTCCCACCAGCACCCCTTCTTCCCAATAACCTAAACTCGCCTTCCGTCTCTCGTCTAATGGCGTTCTCTTTCATTTCTGACGAAATCTTGGATGATGAGCCGTTTGATCCAAAACCAGACCCTGCACGGAACACAATGTTACCGCCGTTTTCTTCCTGTATCTCTTGAATTTGGAGATTACTAGAGTTCCTCAGCTTCCTTGATGGGGTTGAGTTTGTCTCCTGAGTAACTGACATAACTGCAGCATCAAACGAGAGGACATCTTTACCATCGTACATAGGACTGCTGTAACTCTTTGCTACCGGTTTTGGTGATTGCCTTTTGCTAGTAAACCAGAATGGTGGCAACGGAGAGGCGATCTTGTGGTGGTTTAAGTGACCTGCACGATCAGACCCAAGTGGACTTTGACCCAAATCGATCCAAAACGAGTTATCAGACGATTCATCTTCACTAAAAGCAGGGCTTTTCATCAATTCTCCAACTGAAACGCTTTCGTTTTCTTCAAATATGGTACTACTAGTCCCATCTCTATCAGAGACGCTATCTTCTAAGAGCTCTGTCTCAAACACATCCCTCACTTGAGCTGAAGTGTACGCACCAGAAAACACCGGCATCTGAGATCCTTTACGAGCAGTCTCCGTGGTGGTGGCTTTATCACCGTTAGTACCAAATTGATGATCTTCAACACCAACCAATCCGTCCAAACCATCTATCGAATCACTGAGATATAACGGATACTGAGGTGTGATCTTCACTATTCCTGATCCTGTTTTCCCTGACTGACTCTGAAGATTACCCATCACCGACTTCTTGATCAACAGGCAACCAAAACCTGTAGGATCATGCCCAAATACCTTGTAGAACGATGTGATAATAAACTCTGGTCGAAACAATGATAAACCAAGCGAATCCATATCTTTGGGACCTAAAGAGCCAGCATCAAGCAACACATGCCAGTTGTTCTGCTGAGCCAAAGCCATCCACTGGTAAGAGTACTTAGAGCCCGTAACTCTAGACTGCGCAGGAAACACAAACAACCCAACGGCTGAATCCTTCTTCCTCCTCTTCTTATGAGACAAACGCTTCTTCAAATCCGTGGAACACAGCTTCAAGGTTGGCCATTTGAACCAAGCGTTATAAGCTTTAGCGCCTTTCTCCCTCGCAGTCTGAGCCATCCAATTCACAGACTGACTCTCGTGATCGAACATTGTCAAAAGCCGCTTATTCGTATGGAAAGGGTAAGATTCCGCAAGCAGCTTAAACGCAGAGCCTCTACTTGTAGTGAACACAAGACCATACTCACTCTCAGGGATATTCAGATAATCCATTATCCTAGTCTTGAGATCATGTTCCACAGTTCCACTCTCAGCTCCACCGTAAAGCGCATGGTTACTTAAATTCGCAGTGATCTCAGAGAGACTAAACGTACAAGAATCCCAATAATGCAGAGTTTGAACATACGAGAAGAGACCAAATCCGCAGTAATCAAGACATACCTTTGAATCTGATAAGTGAGCATACTCATCAGATCTCAATTGATCAACTTTCTTAGATGTCTCATACTTTGGGTACATTGTGAGGAACTTGTTGAAAGCTTCGAGGAGCTCAGGAATGGCGTCTTCAGACTCGAAATCGCGTTCTGCGGCTAAAGCGGTTGCGCGTAGGAATTCGCGTTGCGCGTGGAGCCTAGCCAAGGATCTAGAGCGACCCAACCTCTCATCTTCTTGATTCTCTTTCTCGATGTCTTGAGATTTGAAGAGTGACCCGTTCTCAGATGCTTCTTCGAGAGCTTCTCTAAGCTTATCTTCGTACAATCTCCGAAGCATCGAAGCTTTTCTTCTGACATCGATTGGTGAATCAGGCTCATTGTCTCTCCTCCTGCTCTTACTCTTGTCTAAGATCAGAGCAGCACAGTGGTGAATTTGCTTCCACAGAGGAAAATGCATTAATCTTTCAGCGAAAAAACGAGAATTGAGAGAGCTTTTGGAGATTTAGCAGAGGATTGGCAAAAAAAAAGGTTCTTTTTTCCTAGCCCATAAGAAAAACCCTAAAAATGAAGGAATTGAGAAGAAGATCTTGAAACAGATCAAGAGTGCCTCTAAAAACGGAAACTTTCAGTGAACCCAGAAAATAAAAATAAAAAAAAAAGATTAAACGAATTTCACGGAAGAAAAGAAAGTAAATGAACAGAATTTCAAAGAAAATTCCAAAATGAGAAGGAATCCAAAAAAAAGAGCCCCTAGGAACAAAAAGAAGAAGATCCCAAAATATTGTATGAAAAAATCAGAAAAACCCACTTGTGAAGATGATGAACTTCTAATCAAAACATTCAAAAGAAAGAAGCTTTTTTTGGTTGTTGTTTTTGTTTTTGGAAGATTAGATAATAAATGCAAAGCTGACTCCTTTCACCACCAATCTCTCGTTTCATTTACTACGATACACACACACTCTCTCTCTCTACTCAGTGGCTTCTCTCTCTAGCCTTCCTTTAACAGTTTGGTCAAAAAAAGCATTGACTTTTTTCACAGAAGCAGAGATTGTAGTGGTGGCTCCTCTTGCTTAGGGTTTTCAGCTAATTGTTTCAATAATTCAATTTCTGTAATCATTCTCTCTTCGGTTAAAGATCTTTCATTAGAGCTCATTTTATGCATTTATGATAGACTATAGTTTCAAGCAGTTACTAAACAAAATTGTACCTATTTTAATTAGAGGAAACTAAACAAAAATACCAAATTTTTAATTAATGAAACTTAATTTGTCTCATTTTGTGCCCTGAAAAAACGTATGAACTAGTCAACTCTGCCAGTAAAGGGAGAAAGTAGTTCGTCTGTCGAAAAAGAAATTACTGTCCAATTCAGGATTATCAGTTTTCTTATTTATTGGAAACTTAAGATTGTATAAAAAATATTTTTGTAACTCTTTCAAATATACATGTTTATAGTCAATTTAAGAAAGTAAAAAGGCTCTGATTAGATATGTTTAGTGAGTGTTGGGTGAGCAGACCAAATACATATGCGTATTAAATATGTTAGGTTGAGAACCGTGGGAAGATTCTTGCTCCTTTTAGACTCCACATTTAATACGAAAAAAGATTTGCAGAATATTTTCGAGACAGCTAAAAAAATCCTATCTGTTATAATTAGCTTTTAATTCGGAACAAACTGACAATTACAAAAATGTTTTATCTTTTTAAAAAAGTAGAAAATCCTTCTTTAAGAACGGGAGTAAATTAAGTCAAAAAAAAAAAGGTAAAAAAAAAAAGAACGGAAGTAAATTTTTCTAGCCAGTTTCGAAATGGATTAACACATTTTATAAATGAAAACCCATGAAAATCCTTCCAAATTATCCTTGGAAACAAGAGTCTTGCAAGGATTCTTACTTGATCCGTTAAAAACAAAAAAGGTTTGATTTTGAAAGAACTTGAACACAAGCAACCCAAAAACATAACAGAGATGGACATGTCATTAAGAGAGAGTTTAAAGATTTTCCCCTGAAACTTCTTCTAAAGGCTACTTTGGCTTCTTCGATGCTGCCTTAATCTTCCACCAACGCTATCTGGATTAGGTTCGAGAGCCGCTTTCCTCTTACTTCTTGTTTCTCGAGTATTCACCGCGTTACCTCTGGTCTCTGCCTCATTGCATTGGACCTGAACATCATCCACAAGAAGAGTCTGACTTTCCCTAGGAAGGAAGTAACCGTCTTTCCTTGTAACCAAATTCGAGTTTTGTTCTGTCCTTGTATCCAAATTTGAGTTTTGCTCTGTCCTTTCTTGAATTCTTGGGAGATCACCACCAATGTGGGCACATGAATGTTCTTGTTTATCCTGCTTTGACGGCTCAAGATAACCCACGACCTGAACATCAACCAATGAAGTTTTACCATCCACAGACTCGTTTGTGTTTTCACCTTCCCCTTTCTTCAAGGAATCACCATTCTGATTGTCCATATTCTGAAGTTTTGATACTTCCACAGAAGGCGAGAAGAAGCTCAGTGACCGTATAGCTGAATTCGGATTCTCCTTTGTGTCTTCATCCTCATTTTTCTTCAAGAAATCACCATTCTAAAGCTTTGGTACATCATCAGCAGCAATGTTAGGAAGTGATTTTGCTTCTTGAAACGAAAGTGACCTCTTTGCAGAAGCTTCGTTTGGGCTGGGATCATCAGTTTCAACACGTTTGGTTTGAATCAAATAATGCGCAAAAGACTTATACCCGAGTTGAGCTATCTGGAAACAATCCAAAGAAAGAAAGTCTTCAGTTCTTTGATATTGCATTGATAACACCGGATTTTGATCATTTTTATGGATCACTTTAATGTCTTTTACATGTGTTTTTATTCCATTTTCAAAGGTTTTCAAAGGATTTCTATGTTTTCAGATTTTAAAAGACTTTTCAGGTAATTTGGGATAAAAAGGCACAAATTGGAACAAAAAAACTCTTTTGGATAAATGCAGACCGTCAGAACGCTCATGGAGAGACGAAGACCTTCTCACTGTCTGATCACCCTCAAAATTGGACAACTTATAGAAGAATCAACCAGATTTCAAATGCACTTGGTTTGGAGACATTCCAACGGTTGGATCTCAAGATATTCCATTAGCCCCGGAGCCACTCAAAGACGGCCAGCAAGTCACGCAACCGCGGCCACCAGCCCATTTCCCGCGGTCACAAGCCTCCCGACTGCGGCCAGCCACCTATTTCCCGCGGTCACGTCATTCCTGACCGCGGCTAGCCAACTCCGAACTAAAGCCCATATATCTGAAGCCCAAAGTCATTATCAGCCTCAATTCCGGAACCCTAGAGACCATGGAGTATTGAAGACTATAAATACTTGTCATTTAGGTCGTTTTTAGACACCACCCCTTCATACTTTACAGAAACCGTTTTCCCTTAGCCGTTTTTATGCGGTTTTTGTAGAAGATTGTTCAAGTCCGAGTTCTTCAATAGAGAAGCTTTCTTTCATCTCTTTTCTTTACTGTTTTTGATTACTTTTATCAAAACCAATGATGATGTCGACCTCAGCTATGTCTGAGTAGATCCCGAGTTGGGCTTAGGGTTCCCGAAAGGGGCTCTCATAATCGATTAAGACATCTAGGTTTATAGATCTGGGATTTTAACTTTGTTCTCTGTTTATTCTCGTTCTTATTGCATGTATGCTTGATTGATCACCTAGTATCTGATCTAGATAGTTAGTGTTGCGAAAGTTTTCATTAAATATCAGCCCTAGAATGAAACAGGCAATTTTTTTTAGGAGTGGAAACCTACCTGCGGCGAGATCGTGAGTATTGACGAGTCTTGTGCAGCTCTTGCGTTCTCTCCCTTCCAGGGCCAGAGTGGAAACCTACTGGTCACGGTTGCGAGAAACAGTTGGTTATGATCACGACAGTGACGTAGTCATACCGCCGTACTCTAGCTCTAGAACCCTATATATCGATATCCGTCAATCCCAATCTATCTACCCTAGTGTTAAAACCGAATATGATCCTTGTAGAGTTTCCAAAAGCTCAGCGTTTTTAGCCATAGTTTACAAACCAATCGATTTTTACTTGCTTATTTAGATCTGCATTTCAATTGCTTTAGTTCGATATTTTGCTTGCTTTATTTCCTTTCCATTCGATTTTTCTACTTGTTCCTTAAGATAGATTTATTTGCTTTCTTTTGTTTTAGTTTAATCCGTGAAAAACAACCAACCTCTAAAACCAATATAATCTAGACATAAAGTTAAAAACCATAGAAGAATATCAGGCACACAAATCTCTGTGGATTCGATCCCTAAATACTACAACTGATTAGTTGTGCATTTGCGGCTTTCCATTTGTTTTTATTAAGGGTAAAACTTGTTCCCTCACGCAGTTGACACGCATCATGCATATACAAGATATTGCAACTGAGTGATTGAAAGAACAACACACCCTTTTGTAAATCGCGCTAGTTGGAACCCATCCTTTATGATTCTGGCACAAACTGCAGTTGCAAATCCCTCGACAAACAGGGCAAATCAGTTTGGATTCTCGAGAGCTTCGAGCACATTCTCCCTATATCTATTCATTAACACATTCAATACCAACAACCAAAACTCCATGGCTAATGATCTTACACATGTGTTTAAGAAGACAAAGAAAAGTACTCACCTCATGAACAAACAATCGCCACAGAACTGCCCTTGGACCATGTCGCATTCGCTGCACTGTATGCGATGACCGAGCGTTTTCTGCCTGTAAAACACACACACTGAAGCATTCAGCATTTTTCACTTTGCAGATTTTCAGTATCAAGTTCTCTCATGACAAAGAAGCATGGGTTTGGTTGACATTTCTGTGTAAAGAGGGACAAAAACACACACTGAAGCATCAAAGCAACTTCGTTTCACAGATTAACAGTAACAAGTTCTCTCTCATGACATAACCACACATGAGTTTGATTCACTTTGACTGAATCTTTGATTTAGACTTCTTAGTAAAGAGAAATGTTAACCTGCATTGGTGACAAGTTTTACCGTTGATGGGATCATAAATACGTGTCCCATCCTTGTATCCATCAACAAAACAGGTCCAGCTCCGTTCAGTGTTCCCAAGCAGCTTCTCATGTTCCTCTGTGTAAACCTCAAGCCTTGAGCCTTCCCCAATCACCACCTCCTCTCGCTTAGATTTCTTCTCCTTCACATTAACACTTTCATTGTAGACAACAAGAGTTGTGTTCTCCAACCTGACGATGACAGAGGAAAAAATTCAAAATTTTGACTCAGAAACCCTAACCCCTCCCTCTTCCAAACACAGAAATCGCAAACCTAAATTTTCTACTAAAAACCCCAGATTCTTTTGGTTAAAACCCTCTTTCAAACCCTAATCTTTCACACAGAGAAATCGCAAACCCTAATTTCAACTGAAACCCCTCCCCCCAAATGCCTCTGCTAAAACCCCTCTTTTAAACCATAATCTGTCAAATGGAGAATTATAGACGGAGAAAGGAAGAGATTTTTACCGAGAAGATCGCCGTGAAGGCTGAATGGAGGAGTCGATTTCAGAGCCGAGCTAGAGTTACCGAATCGCCTTTTAACGGGTCGAGTCTCGGGTTTGAGATTTCAGGTGAGATTCAAATGCTGAGATTTTGCATCCTTTGAAGATTCTCTTTGATCCTTTCTTCTCTGCATTGTTCGTAAAGAGAGACCTTTGGGGTTCCTTTGACTACTACTGGGTTAGGGTTTGTGTTGGATATTGAAGCTTATGTTTCAGTTCTCATGGCGTCAGTGATGATGATGATTATGATTCCACAGACTTCAGATTTTTGATATATCTCTCACTTATGGAGTAATGTATCCTTTTTGGGTAAATAAAAGACTTTTAGTGGAATGTTACAGCAACAGTCGGATTATTATTTGAAAATGTGTAGGGTTCTGGAGGATTGTGTGTTTGAGGGTTTAAATCCCATCAAATCAGAAGTTGTAGCTTCAATGATCAATATTCTAATTTAATCTATTTTATAAAAAAAATTATTTTGTGTTTTTCTAATTGTGCAATAAAGCTATATATTAGTGGGAATATGGAAAGTTATTAAGCTTTTTTTTTTAAACTCTTACAAGTTACAAAATATCACCTTTAAGGCTTTCAAAAGAAAACTATTATCCCTACTTTTTTTAAAATTACAAAAAGAACAATTTTAGCTAGTTAAAAAAAATAATCAAAAAAAGCCTCACCATCTCGACCAAATTTACACTTAATTCTCTTCAAAGAATATTTTCACATTGATTTACGTATAAATTCTTCCAAAAATTACCATCACGGTTTTGTTATTTTGGTCTTGTTGTAAATTATAATCCAAAAAACAAATTAAATTGTATGTGTAACCAAAAAAATTATTTAAATTGTACCCAAAAGTAAAAAAAAAATTCATACTTTTTTCTACACAAAGTCTTTTTTTTTTTTAGACGACTGCACACAAAGTCTTTTTCTTTATCAAAAATTTGTTTATAAAAATTTCTATATTGTCTCTCATTTTTGTTAAAGATCAAACAGGATTTCAAAATAAAATATAATTGTGTTATGGTTGTAAATGGTAAAAAATTTTCTTTGGAATGCTAAGTGCAATCAGTAACTGCTTTTCTGCTTTCTTGAAAATTGATATTGTTAAATAATGTCCAACAAATTTGAACTACTTGTGTTTATTATGACTGTAAAAACCGGAGATCTCAAGCGTCCAACGAATCAAAGGCCGGGTCGTTATTTTCCCACAAGCAAAAAGAAAAACTAGTCCACGTTGATGAACCACCACTTGAAAAAGCTTGAAGCCTCCATTTATTTCTAAATTCGTCAAACCAAATTCAACTCAACCAATAATAAACACAATCTCACAAGTTATCCCTCTATCCCAAACCCTTTCTTTATTATATAAAATCTCAAACAAATACACCCAAAATTTCTCAAAATCCAGAGAGACATGGTCACAACAAGAGCTTCAGGTTCAAGAAGAGATATGGACGTGACTCTCTTCTTCTTCTTCTCCTTCTCCTTGTTAACTCTCACTGCTTTAGTGGAAGCTGCTGGTCGTGGAGTTAACAATGGCAACAAAGATGGCGGATTAGGAGCTTCGTTTATATTCGGAGACTCTCTAGTTGATGCCGGTAACAATAATTATCTACCGACTTTGTCTAGGGCTAATATGAAGCCTAATGGTATCGATTTCAAAGCCTCCGGTGGAAATCCTACCGGCCGGTTCACAAATGGCCGGACCATCGGTGACATCGTTGGTAAGTACCAAAAAATCGACATTCTATAACCCATATATAGTAAACAATATGCACCTATATATAAAAAATCTATATTATTCCATAACCCATTTATAGTAAATGGTATGTGTATATAGCACATTATAGTGTGGTATGATGTTCAACTAACACACCTACACATTATGTTGACATTTATTTCTTTTCATATATATTTTTAGTATGAATGTTGACATTTATTTGGTCTATACATGCTAAAATTTTATGATATTAACCGTTAAATTCAATATTTTCAGGGGAAGAGCTCGGATCAGCGAACTATGCGATCCCATTCTTAGCACCAAACGCGACCGGAAAAGCTTTATTAGCTGGTGTGAATTACGCATCAGGAGGAGGAGGAATCATGAATGCAACCGGAAGAATATTTGTACGTATATCGAACTAATTTTATATCATTTGGATTTGAAAATGTCTTAAAATACGTTTTAGAGTTCTGAATTTTGTGTGCTTTTCTTACAAATATGTAAAAATATTTGGTAGGTGAATAGGTTAGGTATGGATGTACAAGTTGATTTCTTCAACACAACACGTAAACAATTCGATGATCTACTTGGAAAAGAGAAAGCAAAAGAGTATATAAGCAAGAAATCGATATTCTCAATCACTATAGGAGCAAATGATTTCCTCAACAATTATCTATTCCCACTTCTCTCCGTTGGAACACGGTTCACTCAAACTCCTGATGATTTTATTAAGGACATGCTCGATCATCTACGTGACCAACTAACCGTAAGCACAGAAAAATAACGTTAAATTCCTGAAATTCTATTTGGTTTTATACCATATGTATACTTATATAATAAAATTTCTGATTGTAATGCAGAGGTTATATAACTTGGATGCGAGGAAATTTGTGATTGGAAACGTTGGACCCATAGGATGCATACCGTACCAAAAGACAATCAATCAATTAAACGAAGACGAGTGTGTGGATTTGGCTAATAAGCTAGCAAATCAATACAATGTTCGATTAAAGAGTTTATTAGAGGAACTAAACAAGAAACTTCCCGGAGCAATGTTCGTCCACGCCAACGTCTATGATCTTGTAATGGAACTCATTACTAACTATAAAGAATACGGTAATAATTTTTTTTGGTCTTCTACATCTCAAACACAAACACTACCTTATATATACACGTTTTTGTGTCAAATTAGAGTGTATTTGATATAAAGATTTTTTGGATTCATAACAATTTGTAGGGTTCAAAACCGCGACCAAAGCTTGTTGTGGTAATGGAGGACAATTCGCGGGTATAATTCCGTGCGGACCAACTTCAAGTATGTGTGAGGAAAGGGATAAATATGTGTTTTGGGATCCTTATCATCCCAGTGAAGCAGCAAATGTTATCATCGCAAAGCAATTGTTGTATGGTGATATTAAAGTTATATCTCCGGTTAATCTCAGTAAACTTAGAGATATGTGATTGTGATTTGATTGTTTGTTTGTTTGAACAAAATGTGTTTCATTGAAATTTCTTAGACTTATACTTTCTTGCATTTACGTTTGTTATACGCAAAGTTAAGACCAATATCTTTGTATGTATGTGTTGTGTTGTTGTAAGTGTTTACATTTAGTGAGAATGCTTTTGTTTTGTCAAGATGTGATAAAATTTTTAAAATATACACGTATTTTGCAAATTAGCCCCCTATGTTTATGATTTTGATACATTGGTGTACGAAGTTACTAAAATACAGTTTCAGTGTTTCCCTCTCTTTCTCTCTTTCTATTCCTCGATTCGCCGGCAACGGAGAGTCGGAGACCCAATATTCATCACCGTATTCTCGAAACCATAAGTTTTACAGTCTCTTCGATTTCTTCATAAATTCCGATCTTTCCATTCCCGAGTTTCAGGAGTTCTGTTTCCAGAGAAAAGTCTCTACATTTGAACAGATTTAATTGAGCCTAGATTCAAAAAATTACAGGAGCTTGTCATTGAAAGATGAAACAGAAATGGGTCGATTTCTCCGACGGCGAAGAAAGTAATTGAGCCTAGATTCTTCTACTCTCTAGCATATGCCTCAGTGCTTGCAGGTTTCTGATTAAAGTTGCAATTTTTTTTCTTTCTTTCTTTCAAATCTGGAAGAGTAGAGTTATTGTTTCTTCCCTTGATTCGATAAATTGTGCCAGGCTTGGTTTCATTGGTATGATTGTTTAGTGAACTGGAGTAAAGAGGTTAGATTAATGTCGTATCCAGTGATGAGGGTTTGATGCAAGCCACATTGTTCTGTTGTTTTCATATTTGCACGTAAAACTTGTAATTGCATCTCAATGCTATACAGTATTCTCACGAATCTTTTATTCATATAACCCGTTCTTTATGCATATTTAGCTGCAGTTTCCAAGAGACGAGCACAGAGTTCTTTAGGCTTGGAGTTCATTGCCATATGATCTGCATCTTTGATCTCCATTACTTCTTTTGGAGGAAAGTTGCTGATTATCCAACGCTGTGTTTCCACAGGTACTATATTATCTTCCCCGCATATAATATAAATACGTGTAACCGATCCATACCCTTCCTCAGTGAAGCTTTTTGTCCCTGCTAGATTGTTCGTTACTAACGGGTTTACCCTCACCAACATTTTTGCCAATTCAAGATCCTAACGAAAAAGATTGACAAATGTTACTAGCAATCTCATCTCATTTAGGCCTTGTAAAGAGATGCTTTATATAGTTTTGGAGTCTTACTTCAACTGGAGACAACTGATACAATTTCTTGGCCATGAACTCTGGTCCAGAAAGAGCCATCTCTAGAGGACGATCAGGTGTCCCGTAGCTTCCAAACATGGTGTCCAAAAACTCTTCTGGTGGAATGCTTGCCAGAACCTGCAGATTCCACTCAAATATCAGAAGCAACCACGAAGAGATCATACTGAATCAGAGGAGATATACCTTTTGGAAAACGTAAGCAGGCGGGTTATTGGTGTCGGGCATGGAAGATGTCAAGGAGACAATAGCTGCGACCTTACAAGGGAAGATGTCGGCAGCGAGAGCAGCGGGTATTCCTCCCATGCTATGAGCAACAAGAATCACCTTTTCTTCCAAGCCAAGCGAGCTCATAATCTCGAGCAAGGGCTTGGTATAATCCGTCAAAGTCTGAATCTCTTCCACTCTGGTCGTGTTGATACCTGATGCAGCCAGGTCCATTGCAGTGACACAGTGCCCTGCAGCCTCTAGCTGTGTTTTCACCTTGTACCAACTCCATGCGCCGTGGCAGAGCGTATGCACAAGCACAAAATGCTTTTGGTTCGTCTTCTCCATTGCCGTTTTTTTTATTTCAGCTTCTTGGTACAACACTTAAATTGGCGGTTAGTTTCCCTCGTGCTCGAATTCCTGAGAATGATAAACTAACATTACATTGACTGTTAGGTTTTGGTCTTTCTCTGTGATCCCGAAAATGATACACCAACTTTACATTGACTATTAGTTCATGGAGTTAGTTGGTTGGTGAATCTTAGAGAACGTAATTATCTCTTAAACTGATGCTTGATGAATAAGATGTTTTGTTTTTATGTCAGTTAAAATGTGAATGAAAAAGTTGTTATATTCGAGTGATTTTATTTGCTTTGGCGAAATAGATTATGTTTAAATTGCACTTTCAATGTTGAGAAGATTTCATAGGAAAACTGCGATGGATTGAGTTTATTTATAATTGGTCCCTTGAGTTGGTTTTTGTGAATTTGTGATGCATTAATTTGGAGCATACTCTTTCTGTATTTCCCCAATTTTCCTCTTTGGGGATTTGCCGTGGCTGAGCATATAAGTCAGAGCAATTCATTGGTTTTTATGACTATTCTCTATCCAGTGAAGTGTTCGAGTTTGAGGGTAGCAAATGTTTTGTTGTTTACATCTTGCATACAGAAATTTCTCTAGGATATTGGTTATGGTGATGATCTATTTATGTCAGACATGTTTCTAGAGTCTTTGTGTGTTATTATGTGTGCTGTATACGATAAATAAATATATGGACAGAAAAAATGTTGTTTTAGCAGTGCGTATGGTTGTTGCTAAAGATATGCTGCACAATGCAGCTAAATATGCATAAACGTTCTCTTTATTTATTTAAAAGTATCAATTGCATAGTTCTCAATTCTCATACATGTACATGTATTTTCATATAGCTTAATTACTGTGGGGGATGCTGTAGTCCATAACGAATCTGTGGTGATGATCTCAGGTTGATTTATGTATATTTAGCTGCAATTTCCAAGAGACGAGCACAGAGTTCTTGAGGCTTGGAGTTCATAGCCATATGATCTGCATCTTTGATTTCCATGACTTCTTTTGGCGGAAAGTTGCTGATTATCCAACGCTGGGTTTCCACAGTTACTATATTATCCTCTCCGCATATAATATAAATACGTGTAACCGATCCATACCCTTCCTGAGTAAAGCTTCTTGTCCCTGCAAGATTGTCTGTAACGGATGGGTTTACCCTGACCAACATCTTCGCCAATTCAAGATCCTAGCAGAAAGATTGAGTAGATGTTTCTAGCAGTCTCATTTAGGCCTTGAACAGAGAGATTTGAATAGGTTTTGGAGTCTTACTTCAACCGGAGACATTTGATACAGTTTCTTGGCCATGAACTCTGGTCCAAAAAGAACAGTTTGTAGAGGACGATCAGGTGTCCCATAGCTTCCATACACGGTGTCCAAAAAATCTTCTTGTGGAATGCTCGCCATAACCTGCAGATTTCACTTCAATATCAGAATCAGCCACGAAGAGATCATACTGAATCAGTGGAGGAATACCTTTTGGAAAACGTAAGCAGGTGGATTTCTTGTGTCGGGCATCGAAGATGTCAAGAAGACAATAGCAGCGATCTTACGAGGGAAGATGTCGGCGGCAAGAGCAGCCGGTATTCCTCCCATGCTATGAGCAACAAGAATCACCTTTTCTTCCAAGCCAAGCAAGCTCATAATCTCGAGCAACGGCTTTGTATAATCCGTCAAAGTCTGAATCTCTTCCACTCTGGTCATGTTGATACCCGAAGCAGCCAGATCCATTGCAGTGACATAGTGCCCTGCAGCCTCTAGCTGTGTTTTCACCTTGTACCAACTCCATGCGCCATGGCAGAGCGAATGCACAAGCACAAAATGCTTTTGGTTCGTCTTCTCCATTGTCTTATTTTTTAATTTCAGCTTCTTGGCTCAACACTTATATTGACGGTTAGTTTCCCTCATGCTCTGAGTTCCTGGTAATGATTAACCAACATTATAGTGACTGTTAGGTTTTGGCCGTTCTCTAAGATCCAGAAACTGGTACACCAACTTTACTTTGACTGTTAGCTCACGGAGTTAGTTGGTTGGTGAATCTTAGAGCTTATCTTTTAAAGCGATGATTGTGAAATATGATGTTTTTTACTATTTTGGAATTGTTTTTTTTTATGATCTATTCAAAAGAAAAAGTTGTTATATACGAGTGTTAAGAAGTCTCTGTGTGTTACTTTTGGTGCTAGGTGGAATATGTAGATCTATGTTTGTTGCTAAAGATTTGCTGCACAATGCTAAAATCGACGTTCCAAGAGGGATTGCAATTGTTTCTTATTGTAATACAGTTCTCTTTTCAATATTGATTCATAAAACCGTTCCTTTTAAAAGTATCACTTGCTTTGTTCTCATACATATACATGTATTCTCATATCGCTTAATTATTGTGGTGGAAGCTGAAGTTCGTAACGAATTTGCGTTGATGGTCTCAGGTTTATTTATGCATAATTAGCTGCAATTTCAGAGACAAGCACAGAGTTCTTGAGGCCTGGAGAGCATTGGCATATGATCTGCACCTCTGATCTTTATTACTTCTTTTGGCGGAAAGTTTTAGATTATCCAATGCTGGTGTACTTCAGGTACTATATTATCCTATCCGCATATGATATAAATACGTGTAATTGATTCATACCCTTGCTCTGTGAATCGTCTTGTCCCTGTCAGATTGTTCGTTGCTAACGGGTTTACTTTCACCAACATTTTTGCCAATTCAAGATCCTCACACATTAGTAGCAATCTCATTTGAGCTTGAAAAGAGAGGTTTGATTAGGCTTGGAGTCTTACTTCAACCGGAGACAATTAATAGGGTTTCTTGGAATAGTCTGTAGAGGACGATCAGGTGTCCCAAAGCTTTCAAACACGGTGTCCAGGAATTCTTCTAGTGGAATGCTTGCAGATTTCACTCAGATATGAGAATCACTTGAAGAGATTATATTGACGGTTAGTTCCCTTGTGCTACCTCCAGGGAATGATAAATTGACATTACATTGACTGTTAGTTTTTGGTTGTTCTCTGAGATCCAGAGAATGGTACATGAAGATTGCATTGACTGTTAGTTTTTAGTCGATAGAGTTCATGGAGTTATTTGGTCGGTTTATTTAGCTCTGTCTTGGATAGAATCCTTTTCTAAGATCTAGCATCTTGGTTCAACACTTTTGACTATTAGATTTATTAAAACCGTGAAATGTTCTCAAAAAGAACTTCTATTCATTGCTTCTGATCTTCTTCCTTTTGCTTATTCATCTCACAAATGTATTTGGATCATCGCAACTGGCTTTATAATGCTCATATATCTGTTATCCAAAGAAGGGTTCGAGTTTGATCCAAGCCACATTGTGCTGTTTTTTCCATCCTCTACTATTGTTATGGTGATGATCTGTTTATATCAAGCATGTTTCTGACTATAGAAAGTCTCTGTGTGTTACATTGGTAAGGGCTTGGTGGGTAATAGTTCCATGGACTGACAAAAAGCTGTTCAACATTTTTGCCAATTTAAGATCCTAACAGAGAAGACAAGCGGCGATGGTTTTGATGGTCCTCATTTCTCATCATGACAAGTGTTCTGAGCTTATTAACGTGTCTCACGATGTTGCAATGGCTTTTCTATCTTTGTAGGGATTGTTTTCTTCATGGGCTATACAGTATATTTAGTGTAAGAACCGTCCGGTTGATGTTCCAAAAAAAGAACCGTCCGGTTTTTCCTTGAGGATGCAAAAAAGGTCAGTGAATTGTAAATCAGTGAACCAATCAACCCCAATTTTTTCAAAACTTCGCTTACTTTAAACTTCTCAAAAAGTTTTAGGCTTTTGTTTTTTTGTTTTTTGTTTTTCTTTTTTAAGGATGTCAAATAGTTGTTTCTTCCATAGATTCAAGAACCGACTCTTAATTTTTTTTTTTTACTGTATTGAAGATTATGGAGTAGACAAGTTAGATCAGTGCAGTTAAATTGCTTCTTTACACAATTTTCAGGTTTCTTTTTTTTTTTTTTTTTTTTTGCAAATAGAAAATGCTCTCCATGTTTCTGTGTGATATTTTGATAAGAGCTGCTTTGAGATAAATAGTTCCATAGAAAGACCACTCATTTCAATCTTGTATTTATAGATCACTGCTATATTATCTGCCTCTCTGATCTACATTACTTCTTTTACAGGGAAATTGCTGATCATGGAATGCTGGTAATCTTCGGAGTATTCTTTATTTTATTTTTTTTTTCGACTAAAAAAACAAACTTAACGCTCATATGTTGTTTCGAAGATGACTTTCTACTCGAGCAAGCCAATCGGGAGCCGTTGAGCCAAAGAATTCGAACTCGCATCCTCGTGCCCTAGCTTGTTTAACAAGATAATCCGCGTGGACATTCTCCTCTCTAGAAATGCGCTTTAAACTGAACGGAATGAATGATCTTTGAAGGCTAGCAGCATCGTCGAGCTCAGTGGCAAAGGATGGCCACTCTGCAGGGTTATCTACCATGTTGACGAGGTCAGTGCAGTCTGAGACGAAGACAATCCGATGAAGAGAGAGCTCCTTGAGGCATTCCATCGCCCAGAGCAAAGCGTCAAGTTCGGAATGGAGGGGGGACGAGACCCTCCTAGAGGCTTTCAATCCCAAGTAGAGAATGACACTCCCTTGCCGTAAACACCAGCCATAACCACTAAAGGTATCAGAGTCCTTCCATGATCCATCCAAGGAGCACACTAATTGGTTCGGCACAGGGGTGAATAGATCGCATTGGATGATGCCCCGGTTCTGACTGGCTTCATCTTTAGCATTAGCCAAACTCCAAGCTGTAGCCTCTTGGACCGCGTGGTTAAGAGTGTCTCGAGGGTCTTCATCAAAGTTGTCAAAGACCTTCCGATTTCGGGCTTTCCAAGTGAACCACAAGATCCACGGAAAGGCTTTAAGAGATTCTTCGGAGCATCCGAGATCCTTTGCGCGCCAGAAGAGGTAGTCAAAAGATGCGTATATGGAAGAGGATGGAAACACCATCGGGGCCGATGGGATCGCGGAGAGAGCCCATAACTGGCGGGCTGGAGGGCATTCGAACAGCATGTGATGGATCGTTTCTTCTCTCGTTCCACACCGGGGGCACTCTCCATCTCTTGCGATATGTCGGAGGAGGAGGCGCTGATTAGTTGCCACACCTCCTAAAAGGCATTGCCACATGAAATGCATAAGCTTCCGTGTGGTTTTAATTTTCCAAACTTGTGCCGTGAGTGCGGAGATACTCGGTCCCTGAATAGGGGGGCCACAAGTAAGGCGAGACAGGGATCTCGCGGCAAGGTATCCGGTTCTGACCGTATAAGTGCCAGATTTGGTGAGCAGCCAACTGTAGCCGTCTCTCGAGACTGAGCGGCTCAGACGTATCCCTTGAATTAGGATAATTTCCTCCGGAGGGAAAAGTTCTTGTAAAAGCTCCGTCTTCCATTGCTTTGTTTCAAAGTCTATCAGGGCATTGACGTAGAGCAGGGGATCTCTTGGTTCACCAGTTCCTCTCGGGGGTCTCGCCGGTGAATCCGGGATCCATGGTTCTGTCCACACACATGTATCGAAGCCAGAACCAATAATCTTTTTAATATGTGAGCGCAGAAGGGGTTGAGCCGCCATGATGCTTCTCCACCCGAAGGATGGACGGTTTGACACTGATATTTCCAAGGGATTACAATATTTGTAGTATCTTCCTTTCAGGATTCTACTCAACAGGGAATCGGGGAATCTTAGAAGTCTCTACAATTGCTTACCCAAGAGAGCAATGTTGAAATCCTCCAAGTTCCGGAACCCTAACCCTCCTTCGTCCAAACTGGTGCAAACCTTGTCCCATGCTAGCCAATGAATTCCCCCACTATTTATCTTGGTACTCCACCAGAAATTCGCGATGGCGCTGTTTAATTTGGAGCGAATAGCTTTTGGTAGGAGATAGCACGACATTACGTATGTCGGAAGTGCCTGAGCTTGAGACTTGATCAAAATCTCCTTGCCTCCTTTAGAAAGAAGCTTAGCTGACCATGAATTAGCACGGCTTTGGAGCCGGTCTCTCACAAAGGCAAAGACTTGGACCTTTGATCCTTGAATCTTCTCCGAAAGCCCGAGGTACATCCCCATTCATCCTTCTTGGGTGATCCCAAGGATTTCTTTGATTTCTAGTCTGTTCTGAGGGGGGATATCATTTCCGAACATTAGAGATGACTTCGCATAGTTGATTTTTTGTCCGGAAGCCTCACCATACGAGTGGATGATATCAATAACTTCTTTGCACTGGGTGGAGTCTGCCTTGCAGAAGAAGAGGCTGTCGTCAGCGAAGAGGAGATGGGACGTCGCCGGGCTCTCTCGAGCAATACGAATCCCTTGAATCTTTCCGGCCTCCTCCGCCCTTCTCAGCTGAGCTATCAGCGCTTCCGTGCACAAAATGAATAGGTGCGGCGATATCGGGTCTCCTTGACGGATCCCCCGTGTAGGTTTGGTGCTGCCTCTCGGAACTCCATTGACGATGATCTTGTATGAAACAGACGAAATGCAGTACATTATCCACTTAATCCAACGAGAATCAAAGCCCATCTTCTCCATCAGGGCCTTCAGAAAGTTCCACTCAACCCGATCATATGCTTTGCTCATGTCCGTCTTGATAGCCATAAATTTTTTACGGCATGCCGGATTCGATCTAAGGGCATGGAAGTTCTCTTGGGCGATGAGAATGTTGTCTGTAATGAGACGGCCAGCTACAAAGGCCGATTGGGTGTCGGAAATTAATTCCGGAAGGAATTTCTTAAGGCGGGTGCTTAAGATCTTAGAGATCACCTTATAGGCCACATTACAGAGGCTAATGGGCCTGAATCCGGCTATCTCTCGCGGTTTCTCTCCCTTCGGGATAAGGCAAATGTTTGTCTCATTTAGTCTGCCAGTCTGAAAGAAATCACGAATCGTCTTTACTAGCCCGTCCTTAACAATGTCCCAGAATTTCTGGAAGAATAAAGCCGTCATGCCATCAGGGCCTGGTGATTTATCGGGGTTCATCGAGAATAAAGCACGCCGGATTTCATCGACGGAAACCTCTTTCGTCAAGGACTCGTTCATAGCAGCGGAAACCGTCACAGGAACATCTTGGAGGGCAGTAGAAATATTAGGTGACGGAGCTGATGAAAAAAGGTTCTGGAAATACTCAATTGCTATTTTCTCAACTCCGTCTTCGTTATCCACCCAAGTACCATTTTTATCAAGGAGACCTACAATACGATTCCGTGCCCTTCTTTGCTTAGTTGTGGCATGGAAAAACTTTGTGTTTCTATCCCCGTCCTTGAGCCAAAGAGCTCTACTCTTTGCTTTCCAATATAATTCTTCCTCAGAGTAGGCTACAGGCAGTTTGTGTTTCAGGTCTTGAAGTACTTCGATGGGGACATTATCATCGTTATTCGCCTGATCAATCTGATCTTGAAGTTCCAAGATGAGTTTTTCCGAGTTTGTCTTTGTGTTCTGCTTCCAAGCGGAGATATGCTTCCTACAGTTCTGGATGCGGCGGACGAGAGGGATGTTCTGTGGCTGAGCGAAAACGTACCATCCTTCGGACACAGCGTCTTGTAGACCGGGCTTATCAAGCCATCTCCTATCAAATATAAAGCTCCTCTTTTGCTGCGAAGGTTTCTTCTGAATAAAAACAATGAGAGGTCGGTGATCTGAAGCCCACATCTTCAAATATTCCACCTGGGAGTGTGGGAAGATATTGTGCTAGTCTTCGTTCCCCATAGCTCGATCCAGCCTGCATCGGATAAGGCCACTTCGCCGGCGTCCAGTCCAGGAGAGAGGGTTCCCCTTAAAAGGGAGATCAATAAAGCCACAACAGTTTATCATGGCTCTAAAAGGAAGGAAAGTAGATTCAGATCGACGTTTGCCTCCAGATTTTTCGAGGTTACTTGTGATTTCGTTAAAATCGCCAACAATAAACCAAGCATCTAAACGATCAGTACTAATCCGATTCAATCTTTCCCAAACATATTCACGGTTTTTAACAACCGGATCACCATAAAGAAAGGTCATAAACACACGGTTACCATCAATAATAGTCTCAATGTCAATTAAACGATCATCCGAACATAGAAACTTAACCGGAAAGTCATTCGAATACATAAGAGTTAAACCCCCACTAAAACCCACAGGTTCAACAGTATGGAGATTATCAAAACCAAGAGTTACTTGCAAATTTTTGCAGAAAAAAACGGTCATTCTTTGTCTCTGAAAGGAAAACGAAACCTGGAGAGAATCTCCTACACATCTCTTCCAGTCGCCGGGATGTTGGTTTTGACCCCACCCCTTGACAGTTCCACGCTATGGTCTTCATTTAGTTGGCTTGGGTGGGTTCTAGGACCCCACCAAACCTACACAAGACATCGCAATTTTTGAGACCTTAGCCATAGGCACATACGGAAGAGAAATAATTTTAGAGCCAAAATGGGTCGACTCCTCCTTACGAGGGAAATTTTTGGAGAGCTTGGGATTCTTACCCTTTGCAGAACCGAGGGTTGGCCCAGATTTCTTCATTGGGGAGGTTCTGCTCTTGAACGGCTTCAACTTCCTAGAGATCGCCACTCCTACTCCCTTGGGACTGCGCGGGATTCGTCTCTTAGGTTCCACAAGCTTTCTTGAACCAGTGTTTGGGGGATTCCCATTCATCTTCGAGATGTCTTCACCAGCGAGGTGAGATGTTTTTGAAGACTTGTGAGACCGGGTTCTCCGACTCGTTGGTGACTGCGACGAGGCGGGAGTTGCTCGAGATGCACGGGTAACTGGAATAGGGGTCTCAGAGATGGTTCGTTCCTGGCTGACATCTGCTATCTCGTCGTCAAGCTCCTCTCCAAGTAAGTCATCATTCTCCAGAAGGTCATCCTCCATCAGCTTGCGCTCGCATTCCTCCATCAGGCGGAGGTCTTCTTCCGTGAACTCCACTTCCCCAGCTTCCACACCGGTTCCATCAGCGATTACTTTCCCTGCTGTGTCTGCTTCAACAATTGCCTCATCAGTGTCACCCTCCAAGTTTTCCCCAACGAGTTCGTTCGCGAGCTCCTCTGCGGCTATATCATCAGCGATATCCTCCCAATCAAAGGGGACCACTTCTTCTCCAAAGAGATTTTCCTCTCCATCGTCAACCAAATTCCCTTCATCGACATCCATTGCCACAGGAGTAGAGGGTTCGTTCGAGATGACAACGTTCTCTAGAGCAAGAGTAGGGTTTGGTGGAGATCGAGCAGCTCCCGATCCTGAACCATACTCAAACATCCTTCTTGAGTCTTCGCCATCTTCCCCAAAGACGTTCTCCCTTGATGCTATAGCTTTCCCTTTGTCTCTTGCATTCGCGGAAGACGAGGGATCGAGGTTGCGCGACGCCTCCAATGCTTGGGATCGGGGGGGTCGAGGGGGCTACCATTGAGCGAAGCTCGGGTTCTCCCTGGGCGGAGAACGCTGAAGCTGGCGCTGGAAGGCGGCTCCACGTCGACGAAGAGGTTCAGATCTTTGGACATCCCCTCGTTCAGCGCTTTCTCTTGGCCTCCACGCACTGGTCGCAAAGGACTCTTCATTCCTGCGCTTTCTCGAGCCCGAAGATGACAGAGCAGAGTTCTCCCGATTGCGGGGATGATGAGGTCTCCTTGCATCCTCCACTCTCGTCCACACAGAGCCTCTACCGCTCCCTCTACCCGACGCATCTCTGTCCTGGTTCAAGCTTCGTCTGGCAGAAGGACGAGGTGGGTCTGTTCGAGGGCGAGAGTTTGATCGCGGCGCAGAGGGAGGAGCACTGCGCTCATTACCACCAAGCGTGAGCCTTTCGCGCTCCATACCCACCGCAGCTTCACGGTTTCTTGTGACAGGCTCCATCGATCCCGGATCTCTCTCTGAAGCAGATCGGAGAGCCGCAGAGCGGCGAGCTTTGTTGTCCTGTCTTTCCCTCTCAGAGAGCACCAGGCAGTTGCGTTCCTCGTGGGAGATCATGTTGCAGGAAAAGCAGTACCTGTAGAGGCGTTCGTAATGAAGAGACACCGAGACCTCGTCGCCGTTGTCGAACTGGGCCCTTCGCTTCATGATGAGGGGTTTGGAGGCATCCACGGTGACATTTACTCTTCCGTCTTTGACGTCGACAGCTTCGACGTGTCCCAGTGATTCCCCGATCTTCCGAAAAGCCTCATCGACCCAGTAATGTAAGGGGATCCCTCGAATCCTAACCCAGAAAGTCACTGTGCTCGGGAAATCGTCCCGGATATTAGGTTCCCATCTCTCCAGGGAAAATGTCCACTTATTGAAGTGGCAGGGTCGTCGCTTGAGGACTTTTTGGAGGTCCTCCTCTGTTTCAAAGTCGAAGTAGAAGCGGCCGTTCCCGAGATCGTGGCCCTGGACTCTTCCGTCGAGATCCCAGATGCCTGTGCGAGGCATGAAAGCCAGAAGCGCCTCTGTACTTCGTCCGAGATGAAAGGTGCGCCCGATGAGTGTCAGGCGGAAGCGGTCGAGCAGGGCAGAGTAGTCAAAGCGTGGGATCCGGATGGGTTCGTCTTCCTGCGGAGAACGCCGGCCTCGTGGAGCAGACAGGTCAGAAGGTTGGTTCGTCATTCCACCGAGTATCACGTAGCAGGGAGCTAGAAAGAGACGAGATCTATTGAGTTACGCGAGAATGGTGAGGTTTTTGAGGCACCTTCACCACAGGAGACTCAGAATCTCAGGCAGGAAAGAGAACGAAAGAAGAACAGGGGTAAACAGAGTAGAAGGGAAGGTTGTCGGGAAGACGGAGACAAGATCGGAGAGCAGGAAACACGATTTGCGAAGAGGAAATCAATGTCCTTACAGTCCGTACAAGTCGGCGCTTGGGAGAGAAAAGGGAGAGCTAGGGTTTTTTTACATACCTTTCACGTTTTTGGAGTATTCTTTATTTCTTACTCAGGACAAAGAGTAAGAAGAGGAACAAAGATTCCAGAACAACAAATCAGTCATTGAAGACCCAGCATCACAGAGACTGGGATGTGCTGGTATTGAAGATTGTTTTGGAACAGTAACGACGAAATTTCTACAATATTGAAGGTGGTATATCAAAAGATCTTTGGGAAAATAAATATTTAGTTCCTACACTCATGCTACCAATTCTTTTGATGTATCAGTTTCCTTGTTGAGTATGGTGGTAGGAATTAAATCTTTATTGTTTCAAGAATCCATCTCTTATTATAGAAAATTTCATCTTAGTCCTCAATATCAGCATACGCCGGTTCTGGTGATGCTGGTTCTTCTATGATTGGTTCACAAGTTTGGGATCTTTGTGTTTCTTTTTGCTCTGTCTTGAATAAGAAATAAGGACTGTCGTCAAATTGACCACAACAGGCTTGTGATTGTATCTTTTCTCATTGAATGTTAAAGTTCACGGTGTTCTCCTCTCTGGTTGTTATGGTAGAGGAAGTTAGAGAAAGCGAGAGGGTTTTTAACTATACTCTATCCAATGTTCAGATTTGTTGCATATAGAAATACTCTATAAAATTGGTTTCAGTGATCATTTGACTTAGAGATATCGTATGATATGTCTTTTTGTTCAGGTTTTCTTTGCTTATTCATCTCATATGTGTTTTCACCTGCTTATATACATATTTTGCAGATCACTACCATCTTTCCTTATTTATGGGCATATAATCTGCATCTTTATTAATTCACAATGGAAATCTTCAGGTAATGATGTTATCCTCTTCTTATTCATATAATTTTCTATTAATGTAGTCCACCCAAATCACTCATATCTAGCTTATTATTGTAGTTGAAGATCTCAAGTTTATTTTAAGCATACTTGTCCGCAATCTCTAAGAGAATAGCACAGAGTTCTTGAGGCTTAGAGAACATTGCCATATGATCTGTATCTTTGATCTCCATAACTTCTTTAGGTGGAAAGTTGCTAATCATCCAAAGCTGGTTATCCTCAGGTAACGTTAGATCCTCTCTGCATACGCGATATATATATACAAGTAACGGATCCATACCTTCCTCGCTAAAGCTTCTTGTCCATTGGAAGTGGTACGAACACGGACTGCTTCTGGTTCTCTTTCTCCATTGCTTTCTTTACTTTCTGGTCCAAAAGCTTAAATATACGGTTAGGTTCCCGCAAATACTCTTTGTATATTGACTGATAGTTTTAGGAGATCTGGTTTTGATTTCTATAGCCCGACGCTAATGATTGTCAAACCTAGCAATAGAGACCTTGGATTTCCATTTCCTGATCTCTTTGTTTTGGAAGAATCGAAGATAATACTGGAGATATTAATAGGCAGTAATAGTTTGGAATCTCGAATCAATAGAGAGTAATAGTAACACAAGTTTATTAAAACATAAGTTTAGTAATAGTAATAGTTTGGAATCTCGAACCAATAGAGATGGTGTCTTTGTGTTTTTTTAATGAAACCAAAAGAGATGGTTTCTAAATTCTAGTTCCCAATGGAAACTCTAAACTCTGAAAAAAAAAAGGAATGAACACACTGTAAACAAGGACCATTAAAAAGAGAGATTGATTTAATCACTAGACATAGTCAGAGAAATAACATTACTACCTCTCTCAAAACATAGGAATAGGTTTGAGCTTTGAAAACAGAGTAGTTCATTGTTCAAATACAGAAATATACAAACATTAGCTAAAAACAGAGTAAACGAGAAACACACACATTAAACCGAAAAAAATAACTGATAAATGGGTTGCCTTCTCCTCAAGCTTTCTTCTCTACAGTCCTTTGGTTTGGTTGCTTCATTATCTTTTCCAAAGATTCTTCATATTGGGTCCAAGAAGGCTATACAAACGAAATTAACTTAAAACGTTAATTCCACGTATTAATTCATCCAGAAATTTCAGTTATAATATAAAGTCTTTATTCTATCAAATTCAAAATATTACCTCTCTTAATGAGTTGTGGTGCTTCTGCTTCTGCGTTTGTTTCGACCAAAAGGACTCATGAACCACCTCGGTTTGTATAAAACCAGTATGTATCCAATCGTCAGTCCAAATACAATGCCAGGTCCAAATCCTATTGCAGCTGCAATCCAACTAAACACTTCTTCATCTTCTTCCTCTGCCTCCTCTTGCGATGAGGGCGTGTGGATATCTCCACAAACTTCTTCAAATGCAGGGCCAAAAAGTCCCGAGTTGTCTTCAAAAGAAGAGCAATGCTGCGTTCGAAACTGAGTGCCTCCAGGGACTAGACCGACAAGCTGGTTGTGGGAGAAGTTCATGTACGCAAGGTACGAGAGATACCCTAACTCTTGTGGGATCTCACCTGAAAGCTTGTTTTGGGAAACATCAAGTGACTCGAGAGCTGTCAGGTTCCCCATAGATGATGGAATGTGGCCAGTGAAAGCATTGTTTGACAAGTTGAGTACGTGAAGCTCTTTCAATAGGCCGATGGAGCTTGGAATTTCTCCTTCAAGTCTGTTTCCGGAGAAGTCGAGTGCTGTGAGGATTTTCAGGATACGTACCAGCTCCAATGCTACTCCTTTATTCATCAAAACCATTGAGTCTTCGTAATTTCTATCTCCCATGTAGTTTTCATTCGACCGATCTTCCTCTGTCCCAAGTGATGACATTTTACTCCAGTTCACAAAATAATCTGATGGCAAAATTCCATTGAAGTGATTATGCGAGATGTCCATGATTTTCAGCTGAAGGAAGGAGGCTCGATGTATCGGTCCATGGAATGCATTGGAGCGTAAGACAATAACTTGCAGATTTTGTAGAGAACTCAACCAAAACGGAAACGTGTCGTTGATTCTATTGCTTTCCAGATTAAGAACTTCAAGGGCAGAGAAATGGATCAAAGATCTTGGAAGCTTTCCCACCAGTTGGTTATAACCAACGTCAAGCGACCGTAGACGTTCAAATACATTCTCGGGAGGGCCTCCACTAAGACGATTATGACGGAGGTTTAGAACCCAAAGATTACTCTTGAGATTTCCAATACAAAGAGGGATTGAACCATTCAACTTGTTGCTAGATAAATCGAGAACCCTTAGAGAGTCCAAAGCGCATATGAAGGAGGGAATCTTTCCTGTGAAATTGTTTTTGGAGCCAAACAAGAACCGCATGGCAGAGGATAGTCCTTGTTTCGTTGGACTTTCGAAACTGACGAAAGTGTTGTTGGAAAGATTCACGTATGTCAGATTTGGTAGTGTCCATAACCAGCCAGGCACTTGACCTTTGATGTTGTTGTTGGAAATGTCTAGATAACTCATTGAATGCAGTGTTCTTATGATCTCTGGAAATTCGGTAACACCGCAGCCTGACAAGGTTAAATAACCTAACATTTGCGAAGGAGGATCTGAAACTGAGCTCTTGGTTTTGGCTGAAACATGGCTCCCTGAGAGATCCAATGTTTCCAGCCTCTGAGAACATGATAAGATGGCATTCAAGTCAATCGTAGTGGTGGTGTTCAAATGGGATAAGGTAAGATCTCGGAGTGACTTTAGATGCGAGAAGATACTCAAGTCAATTGGGCCTAATTGGGTGTTCCAGTTGGAAAGGTCAAGTACCCTGAGCTTGACTAATTTGGAAACAGATCTCGGTATTGGCCCTCTCAAGTTGTTACGGCCAAGCACTAACCACTTTAGCTTCGATGGTGAAGATATATTCCCAAACTCAAGAAGGCTGTCGAGTTGGTTATTTGACAAAATGATATCTGTCAAAGAAGGAATGGTGAAGAGAGAAGAAGGAATGGTTCCAACGAAATCATTGTCACTTGCCCAAAAATATCGCAAGTTGGAGAGTGAGCTAATGTTTGGAGGAAGCGTTCCTGTGAGTTGATTGGAAGTGAGTGATAAATACGACAACTCTGTCAAATTTAGAAGGGAAATTGGAAAGTTACCACTAAGCTTATTGGCACTAACATCTAACCTCGTCAAATTTTTCAAACTAGCAAAAGAATCTGGGATTTCACCCGTGAGTCTGTTTCGACCGAGGTCAAGAGTTTCGAGATGAGAGAGCTTTTTAATTGAAGATGGAATCTGACCTGAAAACTGATTGGAAGAAAGATCAAGAGAGGTAAGCAGTGAAAGATTTCCAATTGAAGATGGAATCTGACCCGAAAACTGATTGGAAGAAAGATCAAGAGAGGTAAGAAGTGAAAGATTTCCAATTGAAGACGGAATTTCACCGTATAAATCATTATAATAAAGCTTTAGAGTGGTGAGAAAACGAAAGCTTTGAAGACTGGTATTGGAATGAAACTGACCGTAGAGATAACTGTTACTAAGGTCTAGCTCGATCACTTCCCCAGACTTGGCATCGCACTTGATACCATCCCAATAACAACAATCAGTGTCATTTGCCCATGACTCCGTCTTCCCATTACTTACCCAAATTTTAAACTCGTTCTTCAACTGGAGAAGTGCATTCCTTTGTTCCGGACGACACAAATGTCTAGTAGTAGCCGCAAACACGTCATGAGAATCAAAAACAAACAAGAAGAGAAAAGAAAGAGTAATGTGAATGATACTCATTGAGTTTCAAAAGCCTTTCGTTCTTCTTTTGAACAAATTTTAACTTTCTTAAAAATCAGTAATGAAAAGGAAATGATAGAATTGGAATTTGTGATGATAAAATGGTTACATGCCATCTCTTAATTATAGTCAGTGCTCCAAATCCACTCAGCTTGACTCACCAAGTCACCATCTAGTCCTTTGTACGAAGTGTTATTCACGTTGAACAAAGAGAGAGTAAAAAATCTTTGTGTTGAATATTCAATTTCGATACATTTTGGTTTCCCTTATATTATTACAAAAAATTTCAATGAGTCGATGGATGAAAAACATGTGGTCGATGTGAAGAGGATTATGAGGAAGAAGATAAGATTGAAGAGAAAATAAATTACAATGTATTAAATTTCCAAGAGTGGATGTACAACAAACATAACAATGAATGCACAATTAATATGCACAACTAATACGCATAACTAATATGCATAACTAATATGCACAATTAATATGTACGAATAATCAACTAATAGAGCAAATAGAGAGAAGTTGTTTTATTATCCTTTGTATAAATTGCCTAAACCAAAAATTTTAGCAGGACCAAATATTTTAAATCATACTGTATGTTTTTTTTTGAGAAATAATCAGGCATACTCCTACTTTATAAAAATTCTCATATGTTCTCGTTATTTTGTTTTCGATTTATTTTAAAGGAAGAAAAGTCCATAAATACTTGAAGGCTCTTAGAATAATTTGTTATCTATGAATCCAACCACTAAGATCCACATCTAATTAGTCATATTGGATTGAATTTGAATAAATCGAATCCTCGGTCAAAATTGGGAAAATTGGTCAAACCCAAAATAGCAAATATACTTGACAAAATTTAAAAATAAAAGATTTGTAATTTCGAATTCAAAATCGTCCTATCGTCGTCGTCATCATCTAGTAGTTCGTGTAGTATTCTCTGAGACAACTACGAGTGATTTGCTGCTATCTGTTTTGAATCAACGCTAAATCAGGTTCGGTCATCTTCGTCCTCTGATTTCTACTTTCTATTTAGATAACTTTGTAGAATTGAACTTGATTTTTTGTAGAATCGAAATCGATTTATATGTTTTTTATTCGGTTGGTAATTATAAAATAGCAGTCATGGATGGTATTGAAAGATAGTTTAGTTATGCTAGACCAGAACTGTACTCAAATTCCGATTCGTTTCAGAAGAAAATGGTAGAAGGAGTAGCCGATTTGAAGACGGGTAATTATCAGATAGTGTTGTGGCAGAACACTACTGAAACTGAGACTGAGGAGGAGGAGAACCAGCCATTGCCACCCGTGAGAATGTTCTTTGAGCCCAGTCAGTTTCATAATGCAATAAAGTTGGGAACGAGATGTTATATCCACAAAGCTTTTGCGAAATTGGAGTCCCTAGACCTTGAACCCCATGAGCTGAGATGGTTTAGAGAACACCCACAGTTCAAGCACTTTTGGCACATGGATAGGGCCATGCATGAGGACAAAACACACAAGATAATGGGAATGTGGTTGCTTCTTCTTCGGACAGCAAACACAAATAAGAAGAGGGAAGCTTGGTTTGTAGTGAATGGCGTACCAATTCGTTATTCCCTTAGAGAGCATGCCCTTTTGTGTGGATTAAACTATCTACCGTACCCAGAGGACTATGAGTGCATAGGAAGTAATTCGTTTAAGAATAGATATTTCCAGGAAACCGTCCCCTCCCTTGCTGCTGTTGAAAAAAAAGCTAGAGTCGATGCGATGGCTAGATCATCCTGATCGGTTGACGATCTGTGTCACCTATTTCTTATCCTCTATAATTAGTGGGAAAACAAAAACCGGTAAAGGAGCACCATCTGTTGACCCCTTATTCCTGAGGATTGTGGATAATCTTCAGGCTTGTAGAAGGTTTCCTTGGGGTAGGTATTCCTTTGATGTAAATATGAAGGATATTGAGCACACAATGAGGCATTTCAAAGGGATCGTCAAAACAGATGCCTAGACATTCCAAGCTTTATTACTCCCTTGGAGGTATTTCACATTATAAAGAATTTGTAGGTATATGTGTAGTTGTAATACTATGAGCTTAAGTGTAATTTGTTGGGTTATGTGTAATTGGTAGCTTTTGAGGCCATCCCATGTCTGAAGAACAAATACAGAGAAGATGTTAGAGGAGTAGAAGGGAATGTCCCCAGATGTGCAAGCAGAAGTTCCAACCATTCACCCTACAAGGTTTTCCTTTGTTAGAACTCTATGAAACACAAGGTAACACTAGGGACATCAAGAGTATATTGCAACCATCTGAGGATGAGGTAATTATGCTTGCTGGAGTCATGGAGAGAAATGAAGAGAAAGATGTCGGTGATATCGTTCCTGACAATTGGACAAGGCGTTTAGTTGAAAAATAGAAGTCGATATTCTTGAAAGAGATATGCAAGATGGATGTTGATGCCCGAGATAATAAGGAGTGGGTAAACCATCCTGTAGTGGCTAAGAAAAATGTGGTGCCTCTTGGATTGGTGGAACAGCTGCAGAGCTTGCACAAGAGTATGGATGCTCAGTTTCTCCAAATCAGTGCCCTCATGGATGGCAGTGATACAAGACTCTGCTCTGTAGAATAATTTGTAAAAGAGGCACGAAGAGAAAGAGAAGGACCAGGAGATGAGGAAGGAGAAGTTTTACGAAATAAAGAAGAGCATGAAGATCATGCCAAAGGTGGAGAGAAACTTGAAAGTGTGGTGACAACTGAGAAAGCGAAGAAGCAGAAGCAGCCGAAGAAGAAGCAGCCGAAGCAGAAGCATCTGAAGCAGAAGCATCTGAAGCAGAAGCAGAAGGTGTCGGAGCAGAAGGAGCCGAAGCAGAAGGTGCCGGAGCAGAATGAGCCAGAGCAGAAGGAGCCGGAACAGAAGGAGCCAGAGCAGATGGAGCCGGAGCAGAAGGAGCCGGAGCAGAAAAAGCCAGAGTTGAAGGAGGCAGAGTAGAAAGAGGCGGAGCTGAAGGAGGCGGAGCAGAAAGAGGCGGAGTTGAAGGAGGCGGAGTAGAAGGAGGCAGAGCAGAAGGAGGCGGACCTGCTTTTAGCCCGATCTCCGTACCTGCTTAGAAGTATTAAAGAGGTATTGTAGTTTGAAGAGTAATATCTATTGTTGTGGTAATACTTAATATTTCATGGTAACACTATGTTGTATTACTTGGTATATGTAGGTACAACCAGACATTGCTGACGCTGTGAATACAGAAGTAGGGCCAAACACAAGACAGATACGTTAACTCGTGACTCCTCAGACATTTGGTATTTGTATTTGGATTAAACTCCCAAACTTTGGTGTGTGTACTTACTTCTATTTTGTGTTATTGGTGTTGTATTGGTATAACTAAATATTATTGGTGAAAACAAAGGTGTTATTGGAGAACCATAATTGGTATAACTCAGTATCATTGGTGAAACCGAAGGTATTATTGCAAAACCATAAATTGGTACAACTAAATATTATTGTATAACATAGTATTATTTTGTGTAACCAAATGTATCGGTATAACGTAGTATTATTTGGTGTATCCATTTGTATAACTAGTATATTTGGTGTAACCAATTATTATAACTCAGTATTATTTGGTGTAACCACTTTTATATGAGGAATGCTTGCCCTAAACATTTCAAGTTAAAATTATCAAAATAATTTTTACTTAATATACACAACATAAAAAACTGCAAAACATAAGGAATTATTAAACATAAGGAATCCAGAACATAAGGAAGTACAAAAACACAAAACATAAGACACAACACATAAGCACAAAACATAAGAGCGGGATTGATGCATGAGTCACATTCACCATTCCACCATTTCAGGAAAAACCCTCACTGTCCGGTACACATATCGGAAGAACTTTCCGCTTTCGTGAATTAAGAAGCAGGAGTTGCAGATGTTCCCTGATTTATACTCCTTATCCCACCAATGTACCCACGGGTTAACTGAACCGCACAGACAGTGGATGAGAGTATTGATGCGCGGTAAAAAGCGACAGTGGCTTTCATTGAACATCTCCGGTATCTCCATTGGCCATCCAAAATATCCTTCTTCAATGATTTTGCGGATGCACTTTCTTAATGTTTCCCGGCTTAGTTGGCTGAGGTACTCATCACCCTAGGGATGTTCCATAACAAGTTTCATGTACATCTCGTATACATAGATTGCACATGTTTACCATCTATACGCCGTAACCTTTATCAGTTGAATCCCTCCAAAATCGTGTCGTTGAAAATAGAGTTGCATACCTCGCATGAAAATCAATTCAAGATTTCTAGCATCATAGAACTCTCTGAAGATATCAGTGATGAGATGAACATCTTGATCCTCTGGATGACCCATATTAATGGGATCAACTTCAGCATAGTTTCCAGGGCATCTGGTGCAGGCCTTGAACCTCTGACAAATAGAATGAATCCAGATTACGTCACCAACTGTGTTAACCGTTGCTGCCAAAACCTTTTCCAGTAGTTCTTCTGGTAGGACTAGTAGGTAGGAGTACTCTGCCTTGGTAATCCTGATGTGAATTTATAGATGTAAGTGATGGAGGCCGAGTTTAGAGAAAGTGATGGATTTGAGAGAAAAAAAAACTGAAGATCTGAAACCCTAAGAGAAAGTGATGGATTTTTGAAATATAAAAGGAAGATCCGAACCCTAAGAGAAAGTGATGGATTTTTGAAATATAAAAGGAAGATCTGAACCCTGAGAGAAAGGAGGAAAAAGTGATGGATTTGGGAAAGTAAAGAAGGAAGAGAAAATGGAGAAAATGATGGATTTTGAAAAAACATTTCCGTATAGATTTGATTTGGGAACTTAAATAAGAGAAAATGATGGAAGTGAGTAGTCTCGTCGAGTAAACGCGACCGTAAAAAATTATTAGAGATAATGGGAATAAGAAAGAGGAATAACTGCGTCTCTCATTAATTTGTAATTGAAAATATATTATGATTATATATTCAATATTCAATAAGAAAGAGGAATAACTTAAGGCTGAACGGTTGAAGGTTATTTATTATGTTATATGCACCCAA